CTTTTCCTTTACAAAATCCTAATTTTTTTCCACAACTTAATTTAACCTATTAATAGTTTGTAATATATTGCTTTTCATGTTGCTTGAAATTAGTACGGTTGGCTACATGTGGTGTGAAATAAGTTTTAAATACATACAAACTACTGAAAATCACAAGCCAATTCTGAAAGGCACACTCCAATGCAACAGTACTGTAATATACAGTACGAAACTGGATACAATGATGAGAATTGTTATGGTGAATATAATTCACGTAATTAGTTATTTGATATGCCTGTTTCCCGTATTTGTCTCCACTAAAACAAATTAATTTATACATCCCATCAGATTACACGGCCTTCTAGTAGTGCATTTTTCAACAGCATTGGTATAACACAAGCAAACTCTGGATCGGTTTGACATTGTGTCACAGCATCAGTTAGGCTTGCTGGAAACAAAGCTGGTGAGACAATGCTGCCAGATATGTATAGGCAAGTACCGTTTTAACTGAGACTGCCTAGCACATCACGTTTTACTGGTAGGAACCTCCTGGTTACACCAGCCCACAGGGGATTATTGTGTCCGTCCGTCGTGCACCCAAAAATGGGAGGGGTGGGGCTGGGTGTAGAGGGGAGGGTGGGGAGGGGCTGGATGGGGAGGGTGGGGCTGGGTGGGGTGGTGCTGGGTGGGGAGGGGCTGGTCACCCCGTGGTGCCCTTATAAAACTCAACGTTTAACCTACTCACGCCGGCTTGTGCCCGCCCTCACAGTCGGCCATATTTGCGGAATACACCACGCCGCCGTTGACCCTGGTCATTGACCGAGCAACCCAACGGTCCTACCAGCTCCCTCCGCAGGAATGTGTTTAGAGGCACTCGCTCTCTCTCTCTCTGACAATCTGACTGGGTGGTTAACTTTGGGTCGTCCTTGTGTACGCGTGCGTGTGTTACAGAGCCAGGCACATCCGCTCATGTCTTTAAGAGACCTTGGCCCGTGGCAGCAAGTCCTGCGGTGGAGGAGGTGGGGCTCAGGGCGGAGAAGGTTGCACGCCTCCCCGTGGAGAAGGTTGGCCCTACTGTGGAGGAGACCCACCTTTCAGTGGAGAAAGTTGGCCCCACAGAAGATAAAGTTGGCCCTACAGAGGAGAAGGTCGGCACCACAGAGGAGAAATTGGCGGCGGGCCCCGCAGGGGAGGTGAAGAATGGCAAGATGCCTGTCGGCAAGCAAGGACGGGAGGGAAAGCGAGCGGTGGGAGCTGAGGACACAAAGACGGCCAAGAAAGACGCAAAGCCCTGCTCGGAGACGTACAAGTCCCTGTTCACCTCTCACAGCTCGGCCCAGAAGGAGACGGCCCACTGGGTCACCTACAATCCCTACTACAATTGAGCCCGCGTGTGTTTTCGTTACATATAAATGCACGAACACGCTCACGCACATCTTCCCCAAACCCTCGGAGCACTGGAAGATGTTTCGGCATTTGTGGATGTAGTGGAATGTTTCCTAAGTTTTTATTGATCTCCCGGTGCGGCAGTTTGAACATGAGTCAATTTTCATAAATCTGCCCCCTACCCCCCTGCCTCTGTCTACCCAGCAGTGTGGCTCGGTACACCACAGTCACGCTGCAAATTCTGTGTGTGGCCATCGTGGAAGAGTAGGCCAAAATAACCTGTAAAGGGCCTCTCCAGAGCTCTTCGAGTGGAGTCCCTTGCTCCAGCAGTAACATGAGCAAGTAATTGCAGTGCTGCACCTTTTCATCTTGAGCAATACAAGTTAATGTTAGGTTTGGAGTGGTGGCATAGCACACTGCACAATGAAGCTTGTGACCTGAGTTTTATTCCTGGCCTTGGCTAACATCCGTGATTAGTGATATCTAAGCTGGTCCTGAGCATCCCGTCAACTTTGCCAACCAGCATTGATCATACTTCACCATGTGAAGTACAACCCCCGTGACTGACGCAGCCTTGGGAGGGCTTCATCTCGCGGTGAATTGACAAAGGTGCTGTACATTATTCAATTAATGGATGAAAATAAGACGATACTTTTTTTTCAATATGCTTGCGAGTTCTGATTGTGTTTTTTTTATTCTCAACATATTTCCATCAGGAAACATTGTCATTGTTCCATGAAGAGCCTGGGACTTGTTGAGCCTCTCTTGATTCTAGATTTGAAGCTTTTGTGACTGCAAGGATTCACACTCTTAGGTTTTTTCGGTAAAGTCACGTAGGTTAAAATAAAAATTTAAAATAAATTAATAAAAGTAATAGAAATAAAATAATAGATCACGACGTGTTGCCTCCGAAACGTAATCTATTTTATTTCTATTCTATTTTATTTTTACCTACGTGACTTTACCGAAAAAACCTAAGAGTAAGCCTCTCTTGGTTAAATTCTGGTAAATGAAGAACATTGCTGTAATTATGCAGTACTGTGTTCAACATCCTCCACACGTCTGCTTTTTTCCTGCAGAAATATAAAGGAGTTAATTCACATGAATTACAGCATAAACCCGTGCTTTCCGTTTAATATTAATTTTATATTCATCTTAACCACAATCCTTTCGGTTATGTTTCATTCTGTCAAGTAGTGAGTAAAATATGACTTGTCAAGCGTTTTAAGACTTGAGTTGTGCATTCAATCATATAGGCTTGGTTTTGTCATCTGTTGACTAACATCGACATTACATAGCGGCCACCAGGGTGAAAGCTTAAATGTGTTAAGGTCCTGTGGTTGAAACGTCTGGAGAAAACCACTGGATGGTGTGTGTGATCCTTACATTATTGATTATCTTATTCACGATTAAACCACGTGAATTCACCCATTCCCGTTACAATGAAGGAAATATTTAAGAAGAGTCTATTTGGATATATTGCAGATCAGTGCAACGTCGCATGAGATAACGGCCCGCAGAAGTGGATATCACAGAGTTCGTGGTTTACAAAGTAGGTGGCAGCACTTGCCACACACCCTACCACCGAGGGTAATGGATGAGTCAACATTTAATTCTCACATTTGGAATGTATCCCTTTGTGCAGGGCCAGATTTTAGGCGCTGGTTGTTGGGTGCGGTCATTGGTGGCCAGGTTGAGACAATTTACTTGTAGACCCGTTTTAATCACATTCAACTGTCTAGATGTGAGCCCCTTTTTTCGGGAATATGGCCAATTTTATGAAATCAGATTCAGCTCTCGGTTTAGTTTGGTTATGGCCTTTTGAGCCAAAGTCTATTTTCATGTTAAGTGCAGTTGAAATTGATCAACCAATTGTGTAAAACAGCTCAACACGTCATTGGACCGCCTTTGCCAGTACCAAAATATAATGATAGGGCTTTCCCCCTTTTTTTCTAGCAAAAAACTGAAACCCTTTTACAAGGATTCATGTCTACATTAACCACAATACCTGCAGTCAAATGCAAACCAAAAACACGATGATAATATCCCTTGGTGTGGACCAATCAGTTTCAAGGACGATGCATATATTATCATCTCGTGTTTTTTGTTTGCATTTGACTGCAGGTATCATGGTTAATGCAGACATGAATCCTTGTACAAAGGTTTCAATTGGGACCTCCTTTGCTAGTGCCGAAATATAAGAATAGGGTTTCCTCTTTTTTTTCTGGCAACAAAACAGGTGTTAAGATGTTAAAACATCAAACTGAAACCTTTAACATAGAAATCATGTCTGTATTAACCACAATACTTGTGATGAGAATGCAAAAAAAAAATACTCTGATAATATATGCATTGTCTTTGAAACTGATTGGTCCACACCAGAGACAGCTTTCTTTCGAGACTAGTCTCAAACCGTGTTAGACCAGAGGACGCCAAAAGGCGGTCTATAATGTAGACTTATTTTTAAATCCTTTATATTAAGTTCGCTTGCTTGCTTGCGTGCTTGCTTGCTTACGACCGTGCAAACCTTTTGGTCGTTTTTAAACCCACTTCCCGTGATCCAATCGAGCTGACATTTTGCACACAGACTCGTTGTGCGAGACAATTAATGTTCGTAAAAAAATGTTTCCAAAATTGTACACTGTTTAGGGAAAACAAATTAAATATTTAATTACCAATTGTTTAATACTGCAGACAATCATCTGACCCATAGGTGGCAGCCATCTCAAGCCAGAGGACGAGAGGACTCTAGCCGCCACGCATATAAAGGATTGAGTGAAAAACTTTTTTTACGGGTTATACTTATTCGTTCTTTCAGTAAGCATTTTGGCGTCCTCTAGTCTTACACCGTTTGAGACTAGGCTCGAAAGAAAGCTGTCTCTGGTGTGGACCAATCAGTTTCAAAGACAACGCATATATTATCAGAGTATGTTTTTGGTTTGCATTCTCACCACAAGTATTGTGGTTAATGCAGACATGATTCCTTGTAAAAGGTTTCAGTTTAGTGTTTTAACATCTTCACATCTGTTTTGTTGCCAGAAAAAAGGGGAAACCCTATTCTCATATATTAAAATTACTGAAAGAACCAAGAATACGTCTACATTATAGACTGCCAGTACGCTCGCTAAGGTTAAGAACCAGGCTACAGTCTACATTATAGACTGCCAGTACGCTCGCTAAGGTTAAGAACCAGGCTACAGTCTACATTATAGACTGCCAGTGCACTCAGTACAATTTAGACTTTACCGAAATAACCAAAGAATTTGGTTCTTCACACTTCTGCAGATGTCGATGCCACCACCACCGCCGCCGCTTGCACGGCGGTGGTGGTGGCATGTTTGTTCGTATCTCTCAAAGTTCATAAGTTGAATATTCGTAATTAGAGGAGTACCTATAATTGGATCACCCTTTACACACAAATATACAAAGTAAAAAAAACCCTCTGATCTGGCAACCTATTCAGAAACCATTGCCAGCTGTTATTGTAAACCACAGTTTACACAATCTCCACGAACGATTCCAATCGACAACATCTCCAACTGACTGTGAATCGGCGCAAAGAATCGATTCCCTTCAAAGCCCCCAAGACAATCAAGCCAACGTAACGATTCCCCCGACGCGTGAAGGAATCGATCAGGAAGTTAATCGAATCGCCGGCGAGGCAGAAAGAGTACGTGGCGATGGCGGATACGGACCTGAACGCAACTCTCTCCGTGGCCGAGGCGGCGGTCAACGCCACGGCGAAGGTTCCCTCCACGCCCGAGGGCATCGCACTCGCCTATGGCTCCCTGGTCGTCATGGCGCTGCTGCCCATCTTCTTCGGTTCCCTGCGCAGCGTCAAGTCCGCAAAGTCCAAGGTGAGAGGCGCGGTACCCCCCCTTGCCCAGGCCGCGACCACGGTCTTGCCTGACGGCGCCTACCGGGGGAGGCGCGCGTCACGCGGCGGGGCCCCGCAGAGCGAAGGGGTGGGGGATTATTGCGCCGGTTTGCGTAGGCCGCGCACCATATGTATGTGTGTGTGTTGAATTGTCCTCAGTGTTATCCATCAGCAGTGGTCAATCCACTGCTGGATGGACTGCTTCCTGAGCCGTCGCGAGCTTTTCACGATCCCACGAATTGATTTCGTGTGTCCGTCTTCCTCGGTCGACGCTTTGGGTTCCTTGGCTGTCACTGCGTTGATAATTGTTTTTTTTTACCCCTTTTATCTGGCAACAAAACTGACACCTTTTTTTTACAAGAAGCCATGTTTGCATTGACCACAATACCTGCGGTCGGAATGCAAAGGTGTCAGTTTTGTAGCCAGATAAAAGGGTAAAAACACAATTATCATATTTTGCTACTGGCAAAGGAGGTTCCAATGGTGTCACTGCGTTGTTTCTTCGTTAGCATCGTTCCCTTTAAGCCATGACGTGTCCTTTGCAAGCCCACTCGCTCTTTCTTTCTCATCAGTTAGTTTTATTAAACTTGTATAATTAACCAGCATATGTTTTCTGGAACCCATATGGTTCCTCTTGCTGTGTCTCGTTAGAATGCGTTAACGCATTGAATTGGAAATTAAAAACGGTGTATTCATTTAGAGTAAAATGTTACGTGTGTTTTTTTTTGTCAGGTCGCAGCCAGGTGTGTGTAAATAATAAGTCTGTGCCGACCCTTGTCAAATTATGCTCGGGCGATGAAAGAGAGGTGTGTCTTTTAAAAGTATACCCAAGTAAATTTGAAAAAAAAGTTACAGTACTTGGTTATCCCTTATAAAAGACTTGCCCTGTATTAGCCATTCCTTGGCTTCCATTCCGTTATTATTCTTGATCATTGGCCATCATTCCTTCATGCCATAACGTGTCCTGCCCAATCCCACTTATTTATCTTAACAGTTTAAATTATAGTATGTCATTAATCCACGTGTACCTGTTTTTATCTCAATATAATGTGTTTATCAATGAAATACGTCTGCCTTACTATTATATTAAATAATTTTACTTCTAACATAGTACTACTTATATTCTTGGTTCTTTCGGTAAAGTCACGTAGAAGAGAAACAATAAAAGAATAAAAATATAAAATTCTCACGACGTTTCGACTGCAACACAAGCAATCATCATCAGGTGTGAAATCCGCAGCAAGGAAACTTACCGAAAGAACCAAGAATATGAATCCCTGCAGTCACGAAAGCTTTAAATCAAAATAGTACTACTTGTGGTCTAGAAAGGCTAAGTATTTGATATTTATTCGTCCTGGTCAGAATGATTGATAGTAACGCATTTAACTCAGTGGGAAACTGATACAGTCATCCAAGCTGTCAAAACAGACGTAATAAAAAAACATACAACAAGGATAAAAAAATTGTTTACAAGCATAGAACAGCTGCGCTGAGTTTCCGTGAGGAAGGTAACGATACAAAATCTGTAAGGAGATAAGCTCTCAAAATGTATTCTCAGGAACAAAGATGATGAGAATACATTTTAGGAATATTGGAGAAATAAAGACACACATATAATGCATATATAATATATAATGTCCCATAAATGTCATTTTATGGTGACAGTCACTATAAGTACCAATGGATATCAATTAGAGGAATTGATTTTGGATCCAAAGTGAAAATATTTGATGAAAATAAAATCTATATTTTTGTATGGACAAAACAGGCAAACATAACACAGTATGTATGCCTCGGGTAATTATTTAACGTGGACTGTGATCAAGAGCAGATTGGAGTGTGTTTGTAAAATTTAATTTCGCAATATACCAATTTGCCCAAAGAAGAAAGTTTTCCAATCGGTCCAATATTCTCCGGAAATATGAACACTGAAAATTTCGAGCAACGACTGTGAAAAGAGGTACGGACGGAGAGGTGCATCCTTGTAACTTCATTGAGAAGCAGCTACAAAAATATACACAAATTACAGACATCTTAGTGCTTGTTGAGAAAAGTAAATGGGTTTGTACAAGACACATTGACTAGCAGACATGACAGCCAATAAATGAGACTAGTGCTGGAATGGCAGGCAAAGGAGAAACAAGTATAACCCGTAAAAACAAAGTTTTTCACTATAAATCCTTTATATGCGTGGCGGCTAGAGTCCTCTCGTCCTCTGGCTTGAGATGGCTGCCTCCTATGGGTCAGATGATTGCATTGCACCATTAAGCAATTGGTAATTAAATATAATATTTTTGTCCTAAAAAGTGTACAATTTTGGAAAAAAAAATTCACGAACATTAATTGTCACGCACAACGAGTCCGTGTGGAAAATGTCAACTCGATTGGATCATGGGAAGTGGGTTAAAAAACGACCGAAAGATTTGCACGGTCTGAAGCAAGCAAGCGAACTTAATATAAAGGATTTAACAAGTAAACCCGTAAAAACAAAGTTTTTCACTCTAAATCCTTTATATGCGTGGCGGCTAGAGTCCTCTCGTCCTCTGGCTTGAGATGGCTGCAATCTATGGGTCAGATGATTGTCTGCCAGTATTAAGCAATTGGTAATTAAATATTTAATTTGTTTTCCCTAAACAGTGTAAAATTTTGGAAAAAAAATTTCACGAAAATTAATTGTCACACACAACGAGTCTGTGCAAAATGTCAGCTCGATTGGATCACGGGAAGGGGGTTAAAAAACGACCGAAAGATTTGCACGGTCGTAAGCAAGCAAGCACGCAAGCAAGCACGCAAGCAAGCAAGCAAGCGAACTTAATATAAAGGATTTAAAAATGCCTGCGAGCGTGACCACCGGGGAGGTGGAGTGATGAGATTAGAGGCCTCGTCCAGTTCAGGAGTTAGATATATTATTATAGCACGACACCGTGTGGTAGGGCAACGACTTTTGAGGACTTTAATCCAGCAGTGGATAGATTGTGGCTGATGGCACTATTGGTAATAAGAATGGAGTACACCATAAATTTTGTATTAAATTACCATTAGATTCACAGTAAATGTGTTATCTTTAGACATTACTTCATAGGATATTCCATTTCAGTCTACTATATACAGCGTTTGTGATTTGAATTTCAAGGAAAGTAAACTAGACTTCAGCAGTTTTTTCTTGCTGTGGTTGTCCCACTTGATGACGATTGCTTGTGTTGCAATCGAAACGTCGTGATCTATAATTTTTCTACCTACGTGACTTTACCGAAAGAACGAAAGAGTATGAAAGTACAATAGTTAGGTTTTAACTGTATAATATATCAAGCTTTGTGCTCTTACCCATTTTGAAATTCGTGGCTGGTAAAATATTTACATTTCAAACGAGGGAAGTTGTATTGTCAATAGTGAACATTTGTGACGGAAAGCAATACAGTAAAATACATATAAAAGCAATTACAGTGGCATATGATAGATATTTACCTGGGAAAACATTTCTGTGATATGGGTATTTTTCAAGATAATCTTGTGTAGAATCTTGGTCAAATTCCTTTCTGAATATATATATATAAATCTCTTATTCAAAGCAGTTGTTTATTACTTGATCCTTGTGTGATCCAACAACCCCACCGACGAGTCTGCTAGGTTAAATACTCACACTCTTTTGACACACTTGTTTGCAACTAACACAACCCTCGACACACTAATCACCTTTACCACACCTATCACCATCAGCACCACCACCATTATCACTAACTCCATTATCACCTCGCCTATCATTAACCCAACCAACACTCACCACCGCTACCAATCTCATCTTAACCATACTCGCCACTGCCACTCAACTTCATCACCACGACCTCCACCAATATCACCTCCGCCACCACTAACATCTGGTAATGCCGTAGGTGGCCATGATGTAACTAACACACATTGCACGTGGCCCTGTCAACCCTGGAATGGGTCACCACATTCCTCTTGGAGTGGTGCCAATGCAACCTTTGAGCTAGATTCCTCCGAGTGCATCTGGTACAGCGCCTCGGTCTGTGAAATCAAGAAGGAGTCATGCGCCTCCACCGTGCTGATTGGGTTTCGTGTTTTCTTTCATCGGCACCCCTCGCCCACGTGCAGCGACGATGAGCGTCGAGTTCTTAGATTGCCACCCTTTCAGCAAATTGCTCGTCCATTCAGCCGCTGTCTAACATAGTCCGATCGTCAGCTGTAAATACGATCGGAGTTTTATATTTACCTACTACAGAATATCCAAAAGTGAAGTGCTCCTTGGAAATGCGAGTTGCACGATTTCCTTCTGCTATCATTGGCGCAGTGGTTAGAACTTTGAATGCGGCAGTCTGAATTAGTTTTTCTATTCACGTTATGGGCCAGCGTGGTGAAGTATGTTTAAGCAACCGGTATGATAGACAGTGTAGGCAAGTTTTTCAGTTTGAAGCAAATTGACAAAAGGGCTATAAGACTATATTTGCTCTTAATTTTAGAAACTTTCGTGACTGCAGGAATTATTATTTGGTTCTTTCGGTTAAGTCACGTCTAAAGATAAAATATTAAATTAAATAATAGCATACGACGTTTCGATTGCAACACAAGCCATCATCATCAGGTATAATGAAATAGCGACATAAAATCTAACCAGAAAACTATAGACAGACATATTAGCAGACAGATATCACCAAGATACATAGAGAGAGCAACACAGGTAACAGAGAGGGGTGATCATCTCTGTGGGGTGGCCTTAAATAGACCCCACAGAGATGATCACCCCTCTCTGTTACCTGTGTTGCTCTCTCTATGTATCTTGGTGATATCTGTCTGCTTACATGTCTGTCTATAGTTTTCTGGTTAGATTTTATGTCGCTATTTCATTATACCTGATGATGATTGCTTGTGTTGCAATCGAAACGTCGTATGCTATTATTTAATTTAATTTATTATTTTATCTTTAGACGTGACTTAACCGAAAGAACCAAATAACTATATTTGCTGAATAGGGAATTACATTTTCATCATCATCATCATGTCAAAAAACATGCCACTAACCATAAATAGTTTGAAATGCCTTTGATGTCCATCCCTCTTATATTGTTCTGAATTGCAACAGTTTGCATGTTGGCTTATTTTGTTTGACTGAGTTTTGCATTTGATCCCACTGAGTTACCCAAGCGCATCTAATCTGTGCTCATTTATAAAGCAGTATGTGCTTCATAGTGAGAAATAAAACCCCATTAATGAGCAGACATAAAGCAATCTTCCATATTAATAGACAGCTATTAATACGGTTTGTTTACCGGGACATTCGTCTCAACGCACTGGCTCCCCGCCACGAGTTTTTGACACTTAATCCGTCTGAATTGGAGTCCGCATTTCAGTCGAGTGTTTAAAAAGAGGGCACTTTTTTTGGAACTTTTATTCTATATCACAACATTGCTATCGGCGTCACGTCATTATGAAATTACCTTTCGTGTGAGAGAATGGCCCGCAGAAATAGATATCACTGAGCTGCTTCTGAGATCCCTTCAGGGGTGAATATTGTGTACACGGTAGTGGGCGGGGGGCAATTATGTCTCCCATGACATGTATTTCTCAATGCCAAATTGGGCAGATTTTATTTCAGATGAGAATCCTCTAGCTTCTGACCCAAATTTGCCAGGGCCTGTGGCAGAGGTCGCAACCGGGTACCCGATACCCGTACCCTACCCGATACTCGGCTACCCGTACCCGGCCAAGTACGAGTACGGGTAGCCGTTTGCGACCCTGGTGCGGCCGGGTACTGGTACGGGTAGGCCGTGAGTCACTGGTGAGTAACCGTTTGTCACTCATTTCGGGTAGGATACGGGTACGGATAGGGAACGGGTACCCGGCCCGGTACGGGTACCCATTTGCGACCCTGGTGCGGCCGGGTACGGGTAAGGAATCAAAACCCGTTTGCGACCTCTGACCTGTGGGTATTTCCAGCATTATGATCATGAGCCACCTACGCATTTACCAGTGACCTGAGTTTGACTCCTGATCAAGATACACAATGCTAATAGTAATTAGTATCTAAACCTTGTCTGGGCCATTCGGCCTTAAAAAAAGCAAGCCTCTGCCCGGACTCATTCGCTGAAAATAGACTTGCACTACTGGGTTTGCGTTGTTATCAACTACATGTCATGCTGTCTTGGAATATGTTCTCACTAAGCATCATATCCTAAACCATGGCCCCAAAAGATCGTTCAGCAGAGGAGTGGAAGGGCTGCACACGGCCCTCATAAATAACACCATCAACTGGCTCGGTAAACTGGACTGTTTTGAGTTTTTACATTCAGCAGCATGCCAGAAGAAGATTAACCAACCGTCCGTAACGATTTGAAAAGGATGATCTCATTGTTCTGTGTGTTTGGATGCCTGTGCATCTATGTGGGTTTGTGTGGTAGTGTCGTGGTTAGCGCGCTGCGCTATGAACCCGACGACCCGAGTTCGATTCCCGCTCACGGCCACCACCAGTGACGATTATCTGAAACTGTCCTGGGCCTCCCCTAGGTCGACTTAACCTTAAATGAGTATCTGGTGCCGTGTGTAAACATCACCACTGGGGAGACAAAGGCGGTCGGGCGTGGTGCTGGCCACCCACCCCCTCGTATATTGTTCCGGCCTACATAGGTGCTTGCTAACAGCACTTGCCCTGACAGTCTAAGGCTATCCGGGGGATCTTTGTCTTTGTTTGTGTGTGCATTTGCATTTTTGCCTGTTTGCATCTCTGTTAGTGTGCCTATCTGTGCATCGTTAGCGCACAGCGCTACGAACCCAGCGACCCGAATTCGATTCCCTCTCAAAGCCAAAGACAGTGGTGAATATTTGAATCGGTCCTGAGCCTCCCCTAGGCCAACTCAGCCTTAAATGAGTACTTGGTGTGATGTGTAAACATAATCACTGGGGAGACAAAGGTGTCTGTGCTTGGTGTTGGTCACCCACCCCCTCGCGTGATTCACCGACCCTCATAGGTGCTCGCTGACATCCCTTGTCCCAACAGCCTTTTAAAGGCTATACAGGGGACCTTTGTCTCTGTCTGTCTTCCCGTGTTTGTCTCCGTGCGTCTGTATGTTTACGTATTTGTGTCTGTGTCCCTCGTGTTGTTTTTTTCGCAGACGACGTCGGACATGACAGAGACGATCACGAGCCGCGACGCTGCTCGTTTCCCCATCATTGCGTCCTGCACGCTCTTTGGCCTCTACCTCTTCTTCAAGGTGCAGCGTCACCGCTCGCGCACGCACGCACGCACGCACTCCACCGCCACATGATGCACGCATCAACAACAACCGCCATTGTCGTTGGCGGTTGTTGTTGATGCTTCGCCCGCTATACCACACACACTACTCGTAGATGAAACGTAGCAGACATTCACGCTCGGTATGCCCACCGCTGGAACATAGTGCATTTGGGACCAATGTAGCAGACACCACTAGCGTATGGTACGCATACCAAGAGCATGCCAGCGCACACCCACGAGTCCGCTGATACTTAGGACATAAGGGGCTGATTTGTGGTAGACTTACACCACACTTGAGACTGATGTAGCACAGCACCGCCGACACACAGCAGGCACCACTAACATTTAGCACACCTACCAAGAGCATGTTAAAGACACTACAAGCATGTGGCTCAGAACACTCGTGCATAACATATTCACTATTAATACATGACGCGCACACACACACTGCTAGTACGTGACACACAGCCGTATTACATGCACACACAGCACATACACATAGCGTGCACAGCAGTTTCGACTCCAGTAAACAATCGCACGTGCACACACACATGCGCGCGCCACTGACATGCGGTGATTACTGTGAAGCCATGGTGCCAGGTTGTGTTCCCATACCACCCGGATTTGATGATCCATGCGAAGTGAGAAACTTGATGATCCATGCGAAGTAAGAAATTTGATACAAAAATAACTAAACACTTAATTAAAATCGAGTCTAAGCGCACGCCCCTTGCTGGGAGCATCGTCTGTGTGCCCGTCTGTTGAATACGTGCGCAGTTATGTGTGTGGGTGTAACAGATTGTGCATGTGTGTAAGTGTATTTGTGTGTGATGTGTATGTGTGTGTGAAACTGCATGGGTGTACAGACTTAAAAGGGCATCTGTGTCTTAGGTGTAAAATGTGTGTATTTTTTTACATATGTTTGTGTATGTAACAGTTTCTTTGTGTATGGGTGTTTATTTTTATGCGTGTGCAGCTGCTACTTTATGCATGTGCATAGTTGAAACTGTGTCGTTAAGTATGCGTGTGCGTTTTGGTGTATGCATTTCTGCATGTGTATATGGATATGTGTGGGTGTAACTGTGTGTGTGTTTGCTTTGGTCCACTCAGCCTCAAATAAGTACCTGGTGCGGTGCGTATACATCGCCACTATGGCGTGGTGCTGGCCACCCACTCCCTCGTGTGCCGTGCCGGCTTTCATCGGCGCGCGCTAACAGCACTTGCCCCTAACAGTCTGTTCAGACTATATGGGGGATCTTTGTGTTTGCTTATATTTCTGTGCATATACTATGTGTCCTCAGGTGTTCTCGCAAGAGTACATCAACTTGCTCCTCTCCATGTACTTCTTTGTGCTGGGGATACTGGCTCTGTCACACACGATCAGGTGAACACACACACACACACACAAAGATAAAGATCCCCTATGTAGTCTACACAGGCTGTTGGGGCAAGTGCTGCCACTGCGCACCTATGAACGCCAGTACGGCGCAACGTGGGAGGTGTTGTTTTTGGTACCATGTCTTTTTGTCTCTGTGTTCTACGTTGTCAGTCCTGCCATGGCTCGACTGTTCCCGGGTGCAGCCTTCGCCTCCCAGTATCAGCTGCTCTTCACACAGGGCACTGGGGAGGCACGTGAGGGTAAGTCTACACGCACACATACAGACAGACACCCGTGGACGCACACAGACACACACACGCAGGTGGACACGGTAGCGCCACGACACGCAAGCATAGACTCTCGCACAGTACCGAGTGAACGCAAATTGACACAAAGAACACCTTGCCACGCACACGTAGCAATAGACGCACACCCACGACGACACGCGGACATGCATAGGGGTGCACACAGTGGTACCAACACACGCACACACACCAACAACGACACAGTGACATACACATGTACGCACGCAGGCGCTCAAAGCACACTCGCAAAACAGTTGTGCGTTGTGTTTTGGCCACGTTAAGACGCTATTTTCCTGTCCTGGTTTATGCAGAGATCTTGAACTACGAGTTTGACCGTAAGGACCTCTTCTGCCTTGTGCTGAGCTCTGTCGTGGGCGTCTGGTACATCCTCAAGAAGGTGTGACCTGCTTTCGCTTTCCTGGAATCTGCAATGAACACACACACATCGCACCTGTACACTCTCACTTGCACCCTTGCCTGCATTCTTATTTTAACTCATCGTCTGATGAATAATCACCGCCTTGTCCACGCTGTGGGAAACTGCCACAGTGTAATGGTTAGCAGCACACTGGACTTGCAATCCAGAGGTCGCCGGCTAGATTCCATCGTAGAAACAATTGTGCAGGTTTCTTAAATCCCCCTCGCCCCACCTCCTCTGCCCACCCAGCAGCAGGATAAAATTGGTTACACCACAGTCAGTCAATCGGCAGGTTTGCGTGTGGTGGGGTTAAAGTTTGGTTGACGCCCACTCCTTCCAACATGTCAACGTTGAAGAGTAGACCCAGTACCCTCTATTTGTGTTCGCTCTTGTGGACGCCTTTTCTGCCGGCAGTGGGAGTGAGCAAGCAATTTCAGGGCTGCGCCTTGCAAGTAGTATTATTACGAACGAAGTTTGTGCCGACTGGTCGTGCCACTGGTCGTGCCACTGGTTGTGCTGTTAAAACCGTGGTTGTGTCGGCCGTGTCGCGCTGAAGCACTGGATCGCCAACAACCTGTTTGGGCTGGCATTTGCACTGAACGGAGTGGAGCTGCTTCATCTCAACAACGTGTGCACCGGGTGCATCCTGCTGGGCGGACTCTTCATCTACGACATCTTCTGGGTGTGCGCACGCACTCACGCACGCACGCTCGATTGCTTGCGCACATATGTACACGTAACAACAATGACACCAGCCACCATTCGTCACTAAGTAGCGGTGAGCTTACCACAGCGCTTGTGCCAGCCAGGTGCCATGGGTTGACTGACAAATGGCTGGCAGATGCACCACCTCTGCTCCCCACTGTGCCAACTTTTGCTGCGTTTTAGCCACCTGGCGCTTTGCTCATTGTTATGAGTCGCTCCTCTGCCCTTCAGCTGCCTCGTAGCGTCCATTTCGAACTTCCCCTAAAGAAGCCGACCTTGATAAACGCTGATTACAGTCATCGGCAAGTCCACTCGGCTCCAAATCCTCCCGTACCACATCAGCACATCTGATCGATCATCAGCCCTACCTGCACACGCATAACATGCCCACACGCACATAAGCACTTGTAAAGAGAGATCTTCCATGTAGCCATACAGGTTGTTGGGTGAACTGCTACTGGAAATCTGTGAAAAAGAGCTACTTATCTTCTCGGTTCTTTCGGTAAAGTCACGTAGAAGGGAAATAATAAAATAATAAAAATGAAACATAATACAATCATTCTCACGACGTTTCGGCCACAACGCAAGCAGCCATCCTCAGGTGAAGACCAGGTCTGTCGGGGAGACAGCGTCTGAATGAAACACCACCACGCTTGGAGCGTATATTTAAGCTGGGTTGGAAGGGGAATGGCGCCTTGACAAAAAAAAATTGCATATCAAGAGGAATTTAGCATATTTATGGGAAATGCAGATATGTGATTAGTACTACTTGTGAAATGCGTAGGAGGTGGGCGGGGGGTTTCAAAGTCATATTATGCCCGTGCATTATGCAGGATTAGCAGCATCAAAGGGAGGAGATCCCTGCAGTCACGAAAGCTTTAAAGAACTACTTAGCTCATTGGATTCCTCCACAGTCTAAAATATTCAGATTCTGCTGTGAGCGAGCATCTTTGAAGGCCGGAACGATGCTAGTGTACTCCGGACCACAACGGGTGATCTCTGTCACACCGCACCAGGTTTTGAGTGAAGGCTGAATCGACCTAGGGAGGAGGCTCCATGACCAGTTCTGATATCACCAGCGCTGTTCGTTGAGGCTGGAAATCCAAATCATTTAGTTGGGTTTATAGCGCAGTGCTAATCGATAGAAAACTTTATTTTCATAATGGATTATTAAGATGAATCGGCACCAGTAAGAATCACTTGTGCTCGATGAATGGATGCGTTGTCGCGTGCCTTTCTGTGTTTGTGATCGTTTCTCCGCGTGTGTGCGCATGCGTTTCCTTTCATGTTTCCGTTCCATCGCCCAGGTGTTCGGCACTAACGTCATGGTGACTGTGGCGAAGTCGTTCGAGGCTCCGATCAAACGTGAGGCCGCTACGTCCGTCTGTCCGCTTGAGTGGGGCTCATTTGGTATTGACTGACAACACAGTCGTGCAGTTTGTCACAAGGGACACATTCCTGCGGAGGGAATTGAGTTGCTCGGTCAATGGCCTGCAGGGTCAACGGCGGCGTGGTGTATTCCGCAAATATGCCCGACTGTGAGGTCGGGCACAAGCCGGCGTGAGTAGGTTAAACGTTTAGTTTTATATGGGCACCACGGGGTGACCAGCCCCTCCCCACCCAGCCCCACCCCCCACCCAGCCCCACTCTCCCCACCCAACCCCACCCTCCCCACCTTCCCCTCCCCACCTTCCCCTCCCCACCCAGCCCCTCCCCACCCAGCCCCTCCCCACCCAGCCCCTCCCCACCCTCCCCTCTCCACCCAGCCCCACCCCTCCCATTTTTGGATGCACGACGAACAGACGGACACAATAATCCCCTGTGGGCTGGTGTAACCAGGAGGTTCCTACCAGTATAACGTTTACTTAAAGGTGGTCGGATGGCTCAGAAGGCAGAACGCTGATCTAGGCCATAAAATGAGAAACCCCGTGAATTGTGTTGTCAACATCAACGCTCGTTAGAAAAAGGGCAGCCGGGCTTGTGGGGGAGGTTGGCTACACCGCCTCTTCACACGTGTGCATTGGTGGCCTTGTTATGAGATAGTTATCGTCACCCACCCTGCGGGAAAATAGTTATGCTATTCACGAGTGCTGTCGTGTTGCAGTGGTGTTCCCCCAAGATCTGCTGCAGAGGGGATTGGAGGCCAGCAACTTTGCCATGTTGGGACTCGGCGACATCGTCATACCAGGTCCGTCCATCCATTTGTGCATCCGTCCGTCTTCCTACATGTTTGTGTGTGTGTATGTGTATGCCCTTGCTTGCCTGACTGCTTGTCTGTCCATCTGGGTGCGTGCCTTCTCTTTACCTGCCTGTGTCTGTCCGGCTCTCGTCTGCCTGTCTGTCTCAGTTGCACTATTTCTGTGTCTTATCTGCGTGCCCATCATTCTCACTGTCTGCTTACCTGTCTGCCTGTCTCATTTGCACAATTTCCCTGTCTGTCTGCGTGCCCATCATTCTCACCGTCTGCCCACCTGCCTCCCTGCCTGTCTATTTCCATGGTCAATGGTCTATATCATGTATTAATATTGCAGTGGAGTCTGTTCTCTACGACATGGATCAAGATCTGCAACATAAACGACAAAAGTTTGTTAATTGTGCAAGGCGACGCGCTCGGTGCGGGCGCTTGTTTTGCCCGTAGCTTTGATATCACAAGACAGCTCTGACTAACACCTTGGTCCTTGGGAGAGTGAGGCTTAGATTTAATGTTGGTGTCAACTCTGTTTCACTGCAGGTTTACCCGAGGCTTACTTACAGGGTTGTCAGCCTCGTTCAATGCGAATGAAGCCTAATGTAAAGTCGTATTGTCTTTTTTCAGGAATCTTCATTGCCCTCCTGCTCCGCTTTGATATCAGGTAACAATTTACCTTGCAAATAGTGAGTTGTTTTTTCTCGGAGTGTTTTCTCGTGTGCGTGCGAGGTAGTTGCTCGTGCACTGCGCTATTAATTATACCCTACAGCCCGCACTGTGTGGGGAGGCCCTCATACAGTAGCGAATCAATGAAGGGCTGTATTTAACTATCATTATTTACAAGACAAATAAGTATAACCAGTAAAAACAAAGTTTTTCACTATAAATCCTTTATATGCGTGGCGGCTAGAGTCCTCTCGTCCTCTGGCTTGAGATGGCTGCCACCTATGGGTCAGATCATTGTCTGCCAATATTAAGCAATTGGTAATTAAATATTTAATTTGTTTTCCCTAAACAGTGTAACATTTTGGAAACATTTTTTCACGAACATTAATTGTCTCGCACAACGAGTCTGTGTGCAAAATGTCAGCTCGATTGGATCACGGGAAGTGGGTTAAAAAACGACTGAAAGATTTGCACGGTCGTAAGCAAGCACGCAAGCAAGCGAACTTAATATAAAGGATTTAAAAAGAGACACCCAGATCCTGCGGTCAAACCCTGGCTCCCAGTAGCGCTGGTTTCGTGTCTATGGCATGGCCATTATTTATGTACTTAGCAGTGTTTAACTTTCTACTCTATAATCCAGGTGGCCTATGTTGAATTCCCGGCAACGGTGGTCATCAATACCTTATAGGTGTCTTAACCTGGCCTGGGCTTTGCCTATGCGCAACTCTCTTAGTGATTAATGTGTATGTATACGTAATCGGAGTTGCGGGGGGGAAGGCCAACAAACTAAACACAAAAAGTAATACATTGTTCCTACCAACTGTAAGTGGGACCTTTATCATCATCATCATCTGTGTTTGGGATGAACAGCTTGAAGAAAAACAGCCGCACGTATTTCTACGTCAGCTTCCTTGCCTACATCCTCGGCCTGGGTCTCACCATCTTCGTGATGCACACCTTCAAGCATGCTCAGGTGAGCGTGACCCTTCACCCTGATGGCTACACGACCAGCACAGCAGCGGTGTCTCTCTTTCTTGATTTGAAGCTTTCGTGACTGCAGGAATCCATTAGTTTTTTCGGTAAAATTTCGATTTAAAGCTTTCGTGAATGCAGGGATTCATCTTCTTGGTTCTTTCGGTAAAGTCACGTAGAATGGAAATAATAAAATAATAAAAATAAAACATAATAAAATCATTCTCACGACCTGTTCTCCACCTGAGGACGGCTGCTTGCGTTGTGGCCGAAACGTCGTGAGAATTATTTTTATTATGTCCATTCTTTCGGTAAAGTCACGTGATTTATTTTATTTTATACCTACGTGACTTTACCGAAAGAACCAAAGAGTATGGTGTCTCTCTTGTCATACTAGATGGCTTAAGTTGCCAGTTCATTTCGATCTCCCGGCGCAACACGTTGAAAACGTTGGTTGGGCATGTTTCATAAATCCTCCGCCGTGGTCGATACAATGAGTTCCCCATTGTGGGAAGTCTCCAGTGGTTTTCCCTGTGGGCATACTCGACCCCCACCATAGGAACATGGAGTTTCCACCACTGGCTTCGAGCTGTTCATGGCAGATGAGGACTGCCGTAAGCTAATTTTCTTAGCGGGCAATCCACTCTGAATTGTTTACTGAATGTCCATGATCCTGTGATCTCATGTGTTTTCCTAACCACGTGTTCCTTTGTCCCGGTGTCCACTGTCCTGTGTGCCTGTGTTCATATGTCTCGTGTCACCTCTCTGTGTGTCCTTGTCGTCTATCCTCCGTCCCCATGTCCCGGTGTTTCCCCATTATCTCTTCTTTGTCTGTGTCTAACCGTGTCCTCTCGGTATCGAAATGCTTCCTGTCCCCATGTGTGTGTTTGTCTGTGTCTCCTGCCCTGTGTGATTGTGTTCTCATGTCCCATGTCTTTGTGTATGTCTCGCCTCTTGTCTGTGTCTCCTGCCCTGTGTGATTGTGTTCTCATGTCCCATGTCTTTGTGCATGTCTCGTCTATGTTCGCATGCTCTCCCCCCCCCCCCCCCCCCCCCCCGTGTGTCATTGTGTCCCTCTGTCTCTTCCGTTTGCACCCACGTGCTCCCTTCTCACCCTGGTGGTGTCTGTCCCTGTGTTGCCTGTCCCCGTGTGGCGTGTGTCTCTTGTGCCTGTCTCCCTGCAGCCGGCGCTGCTGTATTTGGTCCCTGCTTGCATTGGGCTGCCTGTGCTGGTGGCTCTGCTCAAGGGGGAGGTCAAGGAGATGTTTAAGTGAGAGATTAATACACACACACACACACATAAAGTTACATGTATAAACACGCACACAAGAACACTACACATATAAGTATGTGTCGTGTCCTTGTGAGTATGAACACACGTAAAAAGACACATGCACATGAATATGTACACACACAAACACATGAACATGCACATATACACAAACGCACATAACCATACACATGTACGTACTTGAATGCATGCATATGCACATAATCAAGTATATACAGGACATACGCATAACCACATACATGCACACAAACACCCCATGTTTCCCCTTCAACCCATGTCGGAGTGAATGCGTGTGTTTTTAGCCCGAGTTGTCGACTTGGCAGTCTGGGTGGATGACTTCCTCTAACTGACAATTTGCAGCACTCGGCTGTGAGCCTTTCATATTGCGACCTCTGTTCCGGTAGTCTATCTCATGTCTGTGTAATAAGACTCTTTGAGACAACTTCTGGAATCCGTCTTTTATTCACTTTGGGTTACAGCTACTTCCCGCTGCTGGTAGACAACGTGAAGGGACAGATAGACCGAGAGAGACGCAACCGCCACGTGGCAACTCGGAGCCCCGCTCCCGCGTGGCCCCTTCCTCCATTGGTTTCCATTCTGACCACGTGTCATTCCTCTCTACCCCTATTTAATACCCGGGTCACGTGGTACGCTCAGCCAATCCTCGTTAGCCTGCGTCGAATCTTCCAGGCTCCCTCGTCAGCTCCGGGACCACGCCCCTGACTCATCTCCCCATTGGCTGAGGCCAAAGTCAGCAGAACCAATCTCCATAGCTGTCACCCTTCCACACGTCAGGGCCATGTCCCCAGGCTTCCCCCCATTGGCTGTAAGCCAGGACCGGCAGAGCCAATCACCATGACAAGGTGTGATACGTCAGTGAGCCGGATATTCTCGTATTACATCTGTCTTGGTGTGTGTCTGTGTGTGGGGAGCGGTGGTACAGTGGCTAGCACGCTGCGCTACGAACCCGGCGACCCGAGTTCGATTCCTGCTCACGGCCAACACCAGTGACAGTTATCAGAATCGCTTCTGGGCCTCTCCTAGGTCGACTCAGCCTAAATTTACTACCTGGTGTGGTTGTGTAAGCATCTCCACCAGGGAGACAAAGATGGCCTGCTGTGGTGCTGGTCAACCACCCTCTCGTATGCCGTGCCGGCCTTCATCGGCGCTCGCTAACAGCACTTTCCCAAAAACATCTGTGACTGCCACACAGGGGATCATTGTCTTGTGTCTGTGTGTCTGCGCATTTGTGTGTCTTTGTGAATATGTCTGCATTTGTGTGTGCCCATTCCTGCCAGCAATTCTCTCTCTTTCCTCCCTGTCTCTGTTTTGTCCACATCTCCACCCCCGCCTCTTTCTCTCTCTGTCCACCTTCCACCCCCACTCTCTCTCTCTCCTCCCGGCTTCTTGCCTCCTAAAGCTACGAGCTGCCCTTGGAGGATCCCCTCCCGGGATCGGACGATCCCCCGCAAACCCCTCCTATCGGCAGTGTGGGGGAGCAGGGGGCCCCCACCCCCCTCCCCAACCCCGGCCCCTCCCAGTCCCCCCGCCGGAGACGTTAATGGCTGAGGGGGAGCTCACGACCCCCATCCTACCCGCAACGTACGCACTACAGCGGTACAGCATGCGAGTGCCCTCTAGCAGACTAACCGACTCGCCACTAACTCTGCTTTGTCCTCTCCCTCTCTTCAGTTACCACTAATGCAATAACTCAATAACCAAGTATCCTCATATAGAGAGATTGGCCCCCATTGCAGGAATGTGGAATTTCCAGCATTGATTCAGGGCCACCAGAGGAGATGAGTTGATGCCACACCCGTTGCTCGCATGTGTATTGGAATTGGAACCTTTTGAGCCAATTACACTGGTCAACAAAAAATAATTCTGGCCTGGACTTTTGCAGCTGTTTTAGACTAATTTCAGGGTAGATTTTAAGCTTTCGTGACAGCATGGATTCATATTCTTAGGTTTTTTCGGTAAAGTCACGTAGGTAAAAAATTAAACTTTTATTAATTATAATTTTTTACCTACGTGACATTACCGAAAAAACCTAAGAATATAATTTCAGGGTGCTGATTCCAAATCTGATCTCAGATTTGCTCTATCACATCTCATTTTTATGTTATCGGCATACCCCATTTTCATTGATTTTACCCGAAATTAACTCTGTCACTTATGATTGCCAGTTGTTGCGAGTCAGTGACTGCTTTAGTGTTAAAATATGGTGCTGTATTTTTAGGATAGTGTGTTTATAATATAATTTTATGTAGATATCCACATTTATTTAATATTTTTCTTCAGCAGTTTTTATTGAAAATGCAATATTTGATATCTCAAAAACCTGATGTGATAGACAAAAACTGATGCCAGATTTGGAATCGGCACCCCAAAATTACCTTAAAACCGTTCGGATACCTTATGCCAGAAAAAGTGTGTTGACCAGTGTAATTGGTAAATTTCCCACCCTTGTACACCCTTTGGTTTTCCTTGTTATAGGCAGCGTGACATATGTCTTTTAATACAGCAAATCCTGTGCTATTGGTATAAAGATGTACAAACACATACGTGGATATAAAAAAATGAACCCGTAAAAACAAAGTTTTTCACTATAAATTCTTTATATGCGTGGCGGCTAGAGTCCTCTCGTCCTCTGGCTTGAGATGGCTGCCAGCATTAAGCAGCATTAAGCAATTGGTAATTAAATATTTTTTTTCCCTAAACAGTGTAAAATTTTGGAAAAAAAATGATCACGAAAATCAATTGTCACGCACAACGAGTCTGTGTGGAAAATGTCAGCTCGATTGGATCACGGGAAGTGGGTTAAAAAACGACCGAAAGATTTGCACGGTCGTAAGCACGCAAGCAAGCACGCAAGCAAGCAAGCGAACTTAATATAAAGGATTTTAAAAAGTTTGATTCGTGCACGAATTCGCTGACGGTGGAAAGTTTTTGATAGCAGAACCCAAGAATCCTCGTGCGCCCCTAAACGAGCGTTGTGGTGATGCCGATTGCACGGTGCGCGCTGAGCGTTGACAGGCACCGATGTTCCCCAGGTATGAAGAGACACCCCCGGAAAAAGCTACCGAGGACTCGGTGCTCCCCAAGGGGCCTGAGGACAAGAAAGGCGACTGAACCCGGCTCGCCGATTTACTCAGTTTTTTTATTATGATTATTATCGTTATTGTCATTAACGTTATTATGATGATATTAATTTCATTTTTGTATTATTTAAACAAAATGAAATGACCCGCATTTTGTAATTTTTTGTCCGTTTTAAATTTTAATTTCGCTTTTCGTGCTAATCTTTTTTTTCAATCGGGCTGTTCGCCTTGAAGCGGGTTAGCTCGTGCGGATTGAAGTGTTGACGCAATGCAGTTACTGCTGCACGGCACCGTCAGTCGGAGATGGAGCAATGCTTTGTTTTTGGCCATAACCGAAGCCTCGGATGGCGTTTAATCAAACGGCAGAGGGTGTCATGAGAGATGTCTTCTTGCCTGCAAAACAGATGTCTCATTCAATTTATGTTTCCATTGGCCAGACAGATCTCCGCCAACTCTGTATCATTGCCATGCCAAGTTTCCAGGGTTGCTCGTAATAAACTCGGTGCAGGTGACAATTCACCAGCGAGTGTTTGTTTTAAGGTTTCTCCAGCAGTTAATCATGTCTTGGAGGGGCGTGATCACTCTGCCCGTGCTGCGCTGGGATGGTTTTAGAACATGACATCGGAGGTGGTGGTTTATAACACGGCGCAAATCCCTGGTCATCCATCCCCAGTACTGACCGGCCTTGTGCCAGCTTAATTTCCAAGATCTGACGACGATTGGGTGTATTCCGAGTTTAGTTTGGCTGGTAAAATGTATTTTAACGAACCAGTATCACCCAACCGTTGTTGAGCTTGGAATGCTCTACCAGTCATTGTTCAGAATGACTTTCATACAGTCTAAACCCAAACAAGTCACAATGCAGTTTGGCTAATGTGTGAGTTGTCTTAATTTATTCCGGATCATGAGTCATTTATTTCAGCGGCAACACGGTCGCTATAACCTCTGTTCTCCCTGAACTATTGTTGTTCCAACACATGATGTGGTTCGTCAGTGTGCCCTCGTTCCAAGACTTTAACTCCAAGCAAACCCCCTCAATCTGTCAACAGTACGGGTTTCTGAACGCAGTTTGTGTTCAGGGTTCTGTTGCCGACACTGGGAAGAATTACTTTGGCATTTTGTTCATTTTCTTTTGGAGGAGCAACCTTGAGAGCGGGGGATTGATTCACTGCAAATACGGCAATGCAATCGTGTAAAATTCAATGGACGTGGCTGAAGAAAGGGATCAATGAGAGTTTAACACGTAGGCTTTCGCGACCAATGTTATTCATAATCAACGTTTTTGGGTTTAGATCGCGTTATTTATAAATGTGTCGTAACCCTCCGCCACCCGACACGGCCAATCAGTAAAAAAGTGTCACGTTGAAAAAAGACAAATAGTTCACTGCTTTAGCCCACCGGTGTGTTGAAGCCACAACATTTACAATTTGAGTAGCACGACGTTTCGCTGGTAATTGCATCCAGCATCATCGGGCAATTCGCCAGAATTCTGGATGCAATTACCAGCGAAACGTCGTACTCAAATTGTAAATGTTGTGGCTTCAACACACCAGTGGGCTAAAGCAGTGAACTATTTGTCTTTTGTCAACGTGACACTTTTTTACTGATTGGCCGTGTCGGGTGGTGGAGGGTTACGACACATTTATAAATAACGCGATCTAAACCCAAATACGTTGATTATGAATCAATGAAAGTGTCACTCGTTTTCAACGGCTGTTACAGAAATGAAATTCGCCCAATTTCACACACTTCCATGAAAGCTAATGGACGGCTTACCCAGACGTGACTCGTGGTGGAGCTTTGTCACGTGGTGGTTATCGCAATGCGGTATAAACCCAGGTGACCCTTGGCAATCAAGTTCGATTGCAAAGGTGAGCAGCGGTGGCGAATGATATCCGAACCAGTCCTAAGGCCTTCTCGAACCCACACTGACCAGTGTGGTGAAGTATGCTCAAACAATTTTCCCCTGTGACCAGCACGGCATGGGTGAAGGAGTCTTGAGGTAGGAATGGATTGACACAAGGTTGCATCATTCGGGAAGCTAACGGTGCAGTGATCTCGATTACACGATGGCTTGTTTTCATATTTAACATTGCCCCCTTTACGCAAACGGAGGAAACCTCCAATAACGTGAAAACCCAGTAGCATTGAACAGGCCTGACCAAGCCTGCTGATGAGACTCAAAAATGTCAAAACCGCTCCACCAGTTGTGTGTTGAAGCAAGTGCTTCTGCCGGACGTGTGTGGGGGGGGGGAGCCCTTGAATTGTTTTTTTGTATCATGGTATTGAGAGCACCGACCAAATATTGTTTGGGAAAGCGATTCAAGATTTCCCACTGAATGGTTGCGACGGTGCGAACGTTTGGCTTGTGTGTAAAAGGGTTCTTTTTAAGAGTCGATCGAGATTTTACCTTTCAACTGACGTTTTGCAGCAAGACTTGATGCGCTCTCCTGTCACGTGTATGCATTGTATGATATTGTTCCTCTGGCTTCAGCCGCAGTGTTTTAAAGTTTAAAAAACAAGAAGCAAATAAACTACCTTGAGAATTAATCGAGTTTGTACCGCGAGAAGTTTTCACTTTTGCAAGTGCAGTGCAGATAAATCGGGTTGTTACGCCGTACGAATCCCATCAGCCAGGCTACCTGAGAGTGAATCGTTTCATTCGCAAAGGTTGACCACAGGAACAAACTCTGGGCTGGTTTTGACAATCAGTGTCTCACCAACAGAGTGAGTGAACGCTGGTGAACTGCGGGACGTTCATATGCAAGGGCCCCTCTGTGAGCTGTGGGTCCCAGTGGAGCACAAAACTCTACAATGCACGACGCGGAATGACCAGGCGAGGTAGCGGTGCCCCCTAGAGACGAGAACCCGCCAGCCCCACTGTGCGTGAGCGACACGCGGGGTAGACAGCGCTCCCCCTGCCGACGGAAAGAGGCAAAAGCCGAGAACAAAAAGCCTACAACACCTGGTATTCCCAGGCGGTCTCCCATCCAAGTACTAACCAGGCTCGACCCTGCTTAGCTTCCGAGATCGGACGAGATCGGGCGTATTCAGGGTGATATGGTCGTAGGCGAAAGCTGAAATGAGATTTAGTAAATTCATCTCCAACGCCAACTCTTCCGGCTGATATGGCTGATGATATTTCCACTGCGAGTAAATGTTACCCACAAAATTCGTGTTCACCACCAACTTCAGATCGCGAGCCCAGAGCTCACTTCTGCCACTGTCAAGACCACAGCCCTTAGGGCGCCGTGGCTCTCAGCGTCACGGTGCAGTGAAGGCTGCTGAGCTGAGTTAGAATCCCGGGCACGGCTAACATCGGTGGTGTCGAGTGATATCCGAACCAGGTCAGCCTCTCTCCACCCCCACCACTTCCCCACCAACCCGCACCGTCCACCAGCGTGGTGAAGTATGCTCAATCAACCGCCAGGACAGGACAGACACGGCGTGTTGTAGGGCCTCATCCATCAGCGGATTAACAAAGTCTGCACGTTTTGGTTTAAACACACACACACACGTACTGTACGTAAATATGGTGACAACTTTTACTCTGAGATAGCTGCTCAGAACTGAGACGTTGCTCCAGAGCTGAGACCACCACGTGGGTTTGCACCGAGACGTCTTGAGTTGAACTCCACTGTGAATGCGAGGATGATTGCAGGCGGTGTCTTCACACAAGAAGTTAAATCACTTTGTCCAAACGTGGGTCACAACTAAGTTAGAGATGAATTTACTAAATCTTCTCTGAGCTTTCGCCTACGACCATATCACCCTGAATACGCCCGATCTCGTCCGATCTCGGAAGCTAAGCAGGGTCGAGCCTGGTTAGTACTTGGATGGGAGACCGCCTGGGAATACCAGGTGTTGTAGGCTTTTTGAAAGTTGTTGCGTTTTCGTGTCTCCAGGGGGCGCTGTTTACTCCACGTTTCACACGCACGAACCAGAACTGGCGTTTCAATGTCTACAGGGGGCACTGCCTATTCAGGGTCAAACTCTTGACTCCTTGGGATTCAGAATTGGAATTAATCAGGTTTTTGTTTGCTTAGAGTTCTATGTTAAATTGCATAACCACGATAAACACGACAGTGGCTTGTGGGGAGGTTTTCATCCGGCAGTGGATTGACCAAGAGCTTTTCGATTTAAAGCTTTCGTGACTGCAGGGATTCATATTCTTGGTTCTTTCGGTAAAGTCACGTAGAAGGGAAATAATAAAATAATAAAAATAAAAATATTAAATTCTCACGACGTTTCGATTGCAACACAAGCAATCATCATCAGGTGTGAAAACCACAGCAAGAAATGTTTTTTTTACAAGTGGCGATTTAGAAAAGAAAAATTATTGCTGTGGTTTTCACACCTGATGATGATTGCTTGTGTTGCAATCGAAACGTCGTGATCATTTTATTGTTGAATTTATTTTATTATTTCCCTTTAACGTGACTTTACCGAAAGAAACAAGAAAATGACCAAGAGCTGTTAAACAAATGGAACAGACTCACCCCGAGTTGGCAGAGCTCTCCACAGACTTCAAGACGCAAGTTCCATTCTGTGCGTGTCGCTCACGCACAGCGGGGCTGGCGGGTTCTCGTCTCTAGAGGGCACCGCTACCTCGGCCTCGAGCTGACGACAGCTGAATTTTACTGCCTTTGTGCTTCCACTGCTGGATGAAAGTCTGCCAAAACCACGTCGTTTATAGTTGTTGTTAACCGTGTATCGCCACGCTGGTCAGTTTTGGGATTTGTGACCTGACTTTTATTTCTGGCGCACGGCTAAAACATTGATTTAGAGCTGCCTCATTGAACGTTCACAGCCCTCTGTCAATCCACTGCTGGATGACGGCCTCCACATGCCGAGTGGGTAATGGGGCTTATTTGACCGCGCGTCCACGCTGGTCCCTGGGGGTTCGTGAGGGCGGGAGTCTCTGTACATAGAAGTGGGGTGCAACAAGCGGGTGTTGTGCACTGCCCACTGCAGAGGGGATAGTGGGGAATTAGAGTTGGCGTCTTGCACTTATTTACACCATGGGACCTGATGAGAATAACACGTTAAAAACTATTAATTTTGATGACCATTTTTTTTGTTGGCGGAAGAACAGTTTAATTATTAGTTGCCATTGAGTCGCATCCTTTAATCAATCAAAAATTACGGCTACTTAATCATACTAACTTATATTTAAAGTAAAATGATGAAATTATCTTGGCACAATCCATTGCAGGAGAATGCTTTCCTGTCAGCACCGGCGATAATGCATTGAGCAGCGCGAAATCCAGAAAATAAAATCATTTATTTACACATCCCATCAGCCAGGTGACCTGAGAGTGAATCGTTTCATTGGCATTTGTTGACCACAGGAACAAACTCTGGGCTGGTTTTGACAAGCAGTGTCTCATCAACAGAGTGAGTGAACGCTGGTGAACTGCGGGATGTTCATATGCAAGGCCCCCTCTGTGAGCTGTGGGTCCCAGTGGAGCACAAAACTCTACAATGCACGAGACGGAATGGGACACGCGGGGTAGACAGCGCTCCCCCTGCCGACGGAAAGAGGCAAAAGCCGAGAACAAAAAGCCTACAACACCTGGTATTCCCAGGCGGTCTCCCATCCAAGTACTAACCAGGCTCGACCCTGCTTAGCTTCCGAGATCGGACGAGATCGGGCGTATTCAGGGTGATATGGTCGTAGGCGAAAGCTCAGTGAAGATTTAGTAAATTCATCTATAAAGTTATCAGCTTCTACTGATGCTATTTTCACAGCGAATGAGCGTTTCCCATGAAACTCGTGTTCACCACCAGCTACAGATCGCGACCCCAGAGCTCACTTCTGCCACTGTCAAGACCACAGCCCTTAGGGCGCCGTGGCTCTCAGCGTCACGGTGCAGTGAAGCTGCTGAGCTGAGTTAAAATCCCGGGCACGGCTAACATCGGTGGTGTCGAGTGATATCCGAACCAGGTCAGCCTCTCTCCACCCCCACCACTTCCCCACAAACCCGCACCGTCCACCAGCGTGGTGAAGTATGGTTTGTGGAGGTCAGCGGATTAACAAAGTCTGTACGTTTTGGTTTAAACACACACACACACGTACTGTACGTAAATATGGTGACAACTTTTACTCTGAGATAGCTGCTCAGAACTGAGATGTTGCTCCAGAGCTGAGACCACCACTTGGGTTTGCACCGAGACGTCTTGAGTTGAACTCCACTGTGAATGCGAGGATGATTGCAGGCGGTGTCTTCACATCAGAAGTTAAATCACTTTGTCCAAACGTGGGTCACAACTAAGTTAGAGATGAATTTACTGAATCTTCACTGAGTTTTCGCCTACGACCATATCACCCTGAATACGCCCGATCTCGTCCGATCTCTGGAAGCTAAGCAGGGTCGAGCCTGGTTAGTACTTGGATGGGAGACCGCCTGGGAATACCAGGTGTTGTAGGCTTTTAGAAACTTTCTGCGTTTTCGTGTCTCCAGGGGGCGCTGTTTACTCCACGTTTCACGCGCACGAAGCCGAACTGGCGTTTCAATGTCTACAGGGGGCACTGCCTGTTCAGGGTCAAACTCTTGACTACTTGGGATTCAGAATTGGAATTCATCAGGTTGTTGTTTGCTTAGAGTTCTATGTTAAATTGCATAACCACGATGAACATGACAGTGGCTTGTGGGGAGGTTTTCTTCCGGCAGTGGATTGACCAAGAGCTTTTCGATTTAAAGCTTTCGTGACTGCAGGGATTCATATTCTTGGTTCTTTCGGTAAAAGTCACGTAGAAGGGAAATAATAAAATAAATTTAACAATAAAATTCTCACGACGTATCGATTGCAACACAAGCAATCATCATCAGATGTGAAAACCACCGCAAGACATTTTGTGGCGATTTAAAAAACAAAAATTCTTGCTGTGGTTTTCACACCTGCTGATGATTGCTTGTGTTGCAATCGAAACGTCGTGAGAATTTTATTGTTGAATGTATTTTATTTCATTATTTCCCTTCTACGTGACTTTGCCGAACGAACCAAGAATATGAACAAGAGCTGTTAAACAAATGGAACACGCTCACCCCGAGTTGGCAGTGCTCCCCACAGACTTAAACATGCAAGTTTCACTCTGTGCGTGTCGCTCATGCAGAGCGGAGCTGGCGGGTTCTCGTCTCTAGGGGGCACCGCTACCTCGGCCTCGAGCTGCACCGACTACGCGCCTGGTCATTCCGTGTCGTGCATTGTAGAGTTTTGTGCTCCACTAGGACCCACAGCTCACAGAGGGGCCCTTGCATATGAACGTCCCGCAGTTCACCAGCGTTCACTCACTCTGTTGGTGAGACACTGATTGTCAAAACCAGCCCAGAGTTTGTTCCTGTGGTCAACCATTGCTAATGAAACGATTCACTCCTGTAGTTTTCACACCTGATGATGATTGCTTGTGTTGCAATCGAAACGTCCTGGGAATTTTATTGTTGAATTTTTATTATTTCCCTTCTACGTGACTTTTACCAAAAGAACCAAGAATATGAATCCCTGCAGTCACGAAAGCTTTAAATCCAAAAGCTCTTGGTCAATCCACTGCCGGGTGAAGGCCTCCCCACAAGCCACTGTCGTGTTTATCGTGGTTATGCAATTCAACATAGAACTCTCAGCCAACAAAAACCTGGCGAATTCCAATTCTGAATCCCACGTAGTCAAGAGTTTGACCCTGAATAGGCAGTGCCCCCTGTAGACATTGAAACGCCAGTTCGGCTTCGTGCGCGTGAAACGTGGAGTAAACAGCGCCCCCTGGAGACACGAAAACGCAAAAAGTTTCTAAAAGCCTACAACACCTGGTATTCCCAGGCGGTCTCCCATCCAAGTACTAACCAGGCTCGACCCTGCTTAGCTTCCGAGATCGGACGAGATCGGGCGTATTCAGGGTGATATGGTCGTAGGCGAAAGCTCAGTGAAGATTCAGTCAATTCATCTCTAATGTACCGGTACTCATCTTGGAATAAAATTGTTCAACTTCCCCATAGTGTGAAGACACCGCCTGCAGTCATCCTCGCATTCACGGTGGAGTTCAACTCAAGACGTCTCGGTGCAAAGCCAAGTGGTCTCATCTCTGGAGCAGCAGCAGCCTCCCAGTTGAGCATCAATCTCAGAAGAAGAGTTGTGATCATATTTATATACAGTATTCGTGTGTATTTAAACCATGACGTACAGACTTTGTTCATCCACTGATGGATGAAGACCTACAACACGCCGTGTCTGTCCTGTCCTGGGTGTTGATTGAGCATACTTCACCACGCTGGTCGACGGTGCGTGTTGGTGGTGAAGTGGTGGGGGTGGAGAGAGGCTGACCTGGTTCGGATATCACTCGACACCACCGATGTTAGCCGTGCCCGGGATTCTAACTCAGCTCGGCAGCTTCACTGCACCGTGACGCTGAGAGCCACGGCGCCCTAAGGGCTGTGGTCTTGACAGTGGCAGAAGTGAGCTCTGGGCTCGCGATCTGAAGCTGGTGGTGAACACGAGTTTCATAGGAAACGCTTATTCGCTGTGAAAATAGCATCAGCAGAATCCTGATAACGTTAGAGATGAATTTACTGAATCTTCTCTGAGCTCTCGCCTACGACCATATCACCCTGAATACGCCCGATCTCGTCCGATCTCGGAAGCTAAGCAGGGTCGAGCCTGGTTAGTACTTGGATGGGAGACCGCCTGGGAATACCAGGTGTTGTAGGCTTTTTGTTCTCTGCTTTTGCCTCTTTCCGTCGGCAGGGGGAGCGCTGTCTACCCCGCGTGTCGCTCACGCACAGCGGGGCTGGCGGGTTCTCGTCTCTAGGGGGCACCGCTACCTCGGCCTGAAGCTTACAACAGCTGAATTTGACAGCCCTGATCGTGTAGAAGACTTTGAAGCGTATTTCCAGTTAGTCATTATCTGGGGAAAAGTCGTGAGTGAAGTTTGGGGTGTGGGGCACGGGGGGAAATGGCCCCCAAACTAGTTACATGAATTAATTTATTTTCAGTAGTTTACAATTAAGATTTAAAATGAATTAATTATATGCACCCGCGATTCCGAAGGTAAGGGACAAAGCGAACCCCAACCCCCCAAATATCGAAGTCAATCTCCTCCTTTGGGCAAAGCCCCGGGCAACGATTGACAGGCAATGAGGGCAGATCGGGGGATCAAGGAAGAGAGAGCAGTGCGGAGTCTTGAGTGCAGAGTTTCTGGAGCGTGTGTTATCTGCTGTATGACTGGCTGCATTACCTATGGTTCATCAACACAGAGATCTTTGCTGAACACCGCATGAGCTGAACCCTTTCACATTGCATGGCCGTGATGGATGGCGATGGTTGATAATTCACTGTCACAAGAAAAAAATGTTGTTCCTGGGTAGTAAGTATTATTTCCTAATTGCTTATGCCTCAAACGTATATAAAATGGCTATTTTTTTTTATTTAAAGCTTTCGTGACTGCAGGGATTCATATTCTTGGTTCTTTCGGTAAAGTCACGTAGAAGGGAAATAATAAAATAATACAAATATAATATGACTTTACCGAAAGAACCAAGAAAATGGCTATTATTCCCCCAAAACTTTGCTTTTGTGACCAGGACAGTGATATTTTGAAATTTACCTATTTTCAATGAGAAAACGCGGTGTGCATTAGTGTCATTCCTTCACGTAAAGTCCTGGTCACAAAAGCAAAGTTTGTGGGAATAATAGCCATTTTCTATACTTTTGAGGCATAAGCAATTAGGAAATAACACTTACTACCCAGGAACAAACCTCGTGTTACATAGTGTATTGGGTACTTTCATAAACATTTACAAACACAAATTCTGTAAAAGCTAAACATTTCTATTAAAAAAAACCTGCTGATTACCTTGTGCGAATACAATAATAACTAAAAAAAAAAGATTGTTTCCAAGTGTAATTTATTAACGGGAAATCAAATGGATGCAGCAATTGCAATGTTTACGTCAAAATGACACGGACATTTTCCATAAAACAACCGCAGTGAAAGCAGTGAATGAGGACCAACATCCTCACCACTTTTACCTTCATTGATCCATCTTAACCATCACCGGCAAGTTCACCACCACGTTAACCATAACCACCACGTTCTACACCGTCGTATCAATGATCATATTCATTATGATTATTCGTATCAATAACCATCATTGTAGCCATCGCTACCTTAACTATGATCACCTCTTTAGCCATCTCCACCATACTAACAACCACCTTAGCCATCACCTTTAGAACCACCTTAGCCATTATCATTGAATAAAACATCATCGCCTTGATTATCAATGCCTGAATCATCACCACTTTAACAATAGCACTTAAATAATTATCATCACTTACACCAACATCATCATCATTATTATTGCACTGACAGACATGACTACTTACACACTACTTGGGGAATTTTCTGTTCCTGTTCATGTCTACACCAGCATAGACATAAAGGTACGCAACCATTTGTCAACAAAAAACTTTCGCACGCAGAAATATACGTGCACTACCAAGAGAAATAGTTGTTAGTTTTTAAAACAAAGTTTAGTGGTGTGATATAGTACTTTTAGAGGCGAGGATTGGCGGATCACACGTAGATTTGTGGAACTCCCTAAGCAGATGCTCCCCAAGATGAGCAAGCGATGACAGCATAGCCAGTGACATGACTCCATCTCTGGAGAGTTGTGGGTGTCACCCACTTGTATGCGTGGATGTGTTTTTACAGGTACTGCCATTTCCTCCCACATGAAGCCAAATGGTATTTAATGCAACTGGTCAAATATCTCAATGCAGGAACATCGGGAAATAGTCTTCAAGCTCAATGAGACTTTTTGGAATCAAAATAAGGCATTACAGTTGCTATCGGTGGCACGTAACAATTACTAATAGCAGTGACCAGAGCCGACATCCTGGCTTGATAAAATTGACGAACCAAGGCTAGATGCCTTCATGTTGGGCCTCAAGATTAAGACCATGATGCCTTGAACATGTGACACGAAGACAAACCATCATGCCTTGATGCGAGGCCCAAGGCACACTCACCAATGAAGGAAAACAACATGACGTCCAATGTGTTTTTTTGATTTCTAGTTGCACACAAGACTTTAAACTGCAATTTCTCTGTCATTTACAGTGGTGTAAAATTAGAGAAATGATAACTTAAGGGTGATTTATACAGCTGCCCATATACATGTGTAGGATTGCTGGGATTGTAATTGTGTTACTTTGTGTCAGATTTTGCCATCAACCAGAGTCACTTGAACTCGTAACGTGCCGCACAGTACTTGCCCACGTTCCAAGTAAGATAATGGCTCAGAAGGGCGAGCCACCACAGACAAGCAGCAAGGCAGCCGCGCAATGAACCGGCGCTACAAACAAATTGCCCAAGCTATGAAGTCGTCGTCGATATAATGAAGGCGTTAACATGTGGGAGGAAACAGAAGCACGAGGAGAAAACCCATGGGTGCAAGGGGACAACATTCTATTCCATACAGATGGAACAGGTGGAGTCCACATTTTCTGTACCGCATTCTCATGGAAAGGTAGAATATGGCACGTGTATAGTTTCACAACATTTCAGACGCTGTCTCCCCGACAGACCTGGTCTTCACCTGAGGACGGCTGCTTGCGTTGTGGCCAAAACGTCGTGAGAATTATTTTATTGGTTTATTTTTATCATTTATTTATTTCCCTTCTACGTGACTTTACCGAAAGAACCAAAAAGAATATTAGTGTGATCAACCAACCCTTGCGCCCATAGTGCTGGATTGCAGGCGTGCGTGCACCACCAATCCTGCTCAGGAATCCTAAGACTATAGGATACAATAATATAGATTGTGGATAGGTATGTATTGTACTAATAGCCTTACCTCAATAATCCCTACTCCAAGCCAGCCTCGCAGCATTCTGGAAATATAGTAATAAATGAATCTGTGTGTACCCATAATGCACTGGCAACAGGCCACCATTTCAAACATTGTGTTTATAATTAGGAGTTCCCAATTTCACTGCAGTTGTCAAGAATCTCTTTTCACGTTCTTTTTAAAATAAATAATAACTAGCATATTTTGACTCTGTCAAGCCCATTATGTATATTTACACTCATTACAGACTTAAGACATTTATTACATTTGATAATTATGTTGTTCTGAAATCTTTTTTTCAAATACGTTTGACCACTTTTTATTTCTGCTTACAATGAAAATGTCACTTGTAAAAACATCGTTTAAGCAATAATTATGACACTGCTTCTTGATACTAAACCAACATCAATTAACATCAATTAAGCTATGGCACTGGCTGCGTGTAGATGTTGCAATGCTTTTAATGTTTTGGTTGTCAAAACCACAACTTTATTCATCGAGATGACATTCCTCTGCTATTTGGATGACTTCTAGCATAAAATTATCCTTGTTCTAAATGCACAGCGCAATTATAATAAGAAAATTTACCTGCTTTTTAAAAATCTTCCCATTAAACACACCTGACAACCAAAACATTTTTGTTTGCAGATGTACAACACAATCGACATATACAGTATTCTGCTATAAATTATCACACATTTCCATCACGGTCAACGCCACTACTAGAGAAAGCTAAGGTGCGCGCGATGAAGTGATTTGGGGCTAAGCTCATGACGAGTTTTATCACGATCACTCCACGTAAAATTTCATTTAAAAAAACGAGAGATACTACTGTCCCCGCAAATGTGCAGAAAGAAAACCCGCGTCTCTAGCACTTTTGTCTCCACAGATTTTGATCCAATCACAGAGCAGATGTTCGTCTATTCACCATACTGTACCTTCCCCTTTGTGCAAACCCATTTGCTGTATTTCCAATTCCCAGCGCTTTAGCTCCTAATTAATGACATGCGCAGGGAAGCCACGTATTACATTTTCGTGTCGGATTAGGGGTTTAGTGTTTGCAGCTCGGGTTTAGTGTTCTTTTTTAGAGATTATAGTGCAGTATTTTCGGTTATGCTTTGGCATTTCAGATTAGGGTTGAGTGTTAATAGTTATCGTTTGGCATTATAGTGTAGGGTTATGTTTTAGGATGTACGGTTCGAAGTTGGCGTTCAGGGGTTAGAGTTCATGGTTCAAAGTTAGGGTTTAGAGTTCGGGGTGATGATTAAGGTTTCGGGGCTAGTATTACCCATGTCAGATTTTATTACCACACGCGCGTGTGTGGGGTCAGTAGTCTCTGCCTTCAAAATAACGCATATCTGGAATGTGGAGAAGTTCACTCCTGACTCAAGGATACCACGACACAACGGCGCGACTCCACTGAGGGAGGCGAGAGAGGCTGTGACGGCGTTGGGGTATCTCACAAAGCGTGCTTGTGTGTCCCGTGTAGCGTGCACGACACAATCAGTGTGGGTCACATTGACTCAGAGCAGTGTGCACCTGCCTACATCTGCAACCAATCTCAGTCACCTGTTAGCGTCACTAAAAACTACGGTGGCAGGTAATGACCAATCACACACTCGGCTAAAGCTTTTGTTCGTGGTCGAAAAGGCTCGGAACTTGTTAAACTGCAAACGGATTCCTTGTTTCTGGACTTGTTAACGTGCGATCTGATTTGACAGGACTAGAATTATTATTGAGATTCACTTCTCATCCCCAACCCTTCCCCACCCCACCATTATCGGGTAAATTGTCGAGATTCAGGGGGGCGATTTTAGAAATGATTGTTTTTTTTGGAACTCAGTTATACAGTTTTGTTTGTGCTATTTTCCGAATTGACTTGCTCATAATTTGCTCCAAATAAAAGATAATGATATCAATTCATGAATTGAGATAAATCCGTGATCAATTGTTACATCCCTATGAAAAAAAAGCCTAGCCCATGAAAATCAAATGTTAAGAAGCCTAACCATTAAAACGAATCCTGTTGTACCATAACAAGGCCAACCTCAAAGGAATGGAATTGCCTCTTCACAAGCCTATCCCTACAAAAAAACTGAGAGCAGGTCAACAAGCCTCGGTCTATAAAAAAGAAAATGTAAAGAAGGAAAAAAACAAGGATTTTGAAAATTTTAACGTAACACTGTCCATTGTATGATAACTGAGATTATAGGGGTGCACTGTTCAAACACCACACTGAACAGGCCGGAATTCAAGCCTAGTCACGTGACGAGCCACTGGGCTCGCTCCACCACTCTCGAGCTGAGCCACCCAACCCTTGGCCCTGCGATGGCAAAGACACAGAGAGAGACAGACGCAGAGAGAGAGAGTGAGCGGGGATCACTTCTGGATGTCGCACTGCAGAAGCAGCACGATGGATGGGTCGCTGCGAGCCGCCTCCTTGAACTCGTCGAGCGAGATCTGATCGTCGTTGTTCTTGTCCATCTTGCTGAAGATGCGGTCGACACGCTGCTCGGGGGTGAGGCCATCTTCATTCATCTTCATCATGATCACCGTGCCCACCATCTTGTAGATGGCCTTTGGGGGCGGGCGAGAGGATATGAAGGGCAAGAAGTGCACGTTGAAATTTGAAATGTAGAAAAATAAGACTGACAATATAAAACTGTAGCGTTTGGTCTTTGATTACAGGTGCTTGTGGAGGATTCTAGGGATTTCATGGATAGGGTGCGCCTTTTGGCGTCATCTGGTCCAACACCATGTGAGACTAGGCTCTAAGGAAAGCTGTCTCGGGTGTGGACCAATCAACTTCAAGGACAGTGCAAACATTATCAATTATGTTTTTTGTTTGCATTACGACTGCAGGTATTGTGGTCTATGCAAACATGACTCCTTGTAAAAAGGTGTCAGTTTTGTTGCCAGATAAAAGGGTAAAAAAAACAATTATCAACTCATAAGTTCTGAATAAATTGCAGCTGCAAAGTGTTGTACACATAATCAGTAAGCATGTGACGATGCACAAATTCACGTATTAAAAGTAATTTTCATATTTTCTGTGACAATCAGTTTACTTAAACCATCTCACCTCAGTGATCTGATTTCCTTTCCCAATATTGATCTCACCTCACTGAACTAAACCACCTCACCTCCATACCATTTAAATGTATAAATAATCGAAATGCAACTGCATTTTAAGGCACTATACAAGAAGAAAGACGCATTAGAGTATTATGAGATGACGCGATACATTTAAATGTTAAGGTGAAGTGATAAACTATCGAGTGAAGAGCATGGATAAAAGTTGAATTCTATATTGGACAAGGCACATTTCATCTTCTCGGTTCTTTCGGTAAAGTCACGTAGAATGGAAATAATAAAATAATAAAAAGAAAGCGTTATAAAATAATTCTCACGACGTTTCGGCCACAACGCAAGCAGCCGTCCTCAGGTGAAGAATAGGTCTGTCGAGAAGACAGAGTCTGAATGAGCTTTAAAACGAAATTTAAGGCACATTTTGATGGAATTTGCGAGTCATCTGAAGAGAGGATCAACACCTTAATCCTAGACTCAAACAAATACGCGTGAGTGGAGCCATGTGGATAATCAGGAGAAGGGAGTTTCAGACTGCAGGGGCAACATCAGTGGAGAAGCAGCGATCTCCATTTGATAAGAGCTCGACCGGGAGTTTCGACAACGACGTTCTCTCCACGTCGGTCTCACCTCAGTGACGACATCACAATGGCCGTCTCACCTCGATGATCTCCAGCATCTCGCGGCGAGAGATGTGCCCGTCTCCGTCCAGGTCATACATGTTGAAGGCCCAGTTGAGCTTCTGCTCGAAGTTTCCGCGTGAGGTGATGCTGAGGGCGCAGATGAACTCCCGGAAGTCGATGGTGCCATCGCCGTTCTTGTCGAAGGTGCGGAACGCGTGCTGCGCGAACTTGGACGCATCTCCATAGGGGAAGAACTGGAATGATTCGAGGAGGGCGAAGCGCAACACAGAAGGGTGAGATTACAATTAACTGTGCTTACATGGAGAGGTGCCATGGGTGGTACGGTACAGCACGTCATGAATCCAAAATGTTCATTTCACCTTGTGTACATGCCCATGTACATCCATCCCCCTTTGTTGATCCACATATGAGTCTCACTAACAGTGAGACTCACGCCACTAAGGAAAACAAACTCACCCTTTGAATACATATTTAATTACAGTCATACAAGCTGGACATGCCAGACTAATAATATTACTGTATAATAAAAACATGGTGTGTTTTCTAATCAGCATGCCTCAGGCCACTTTGTTAAGCAACCTCATCATATTGTTTACATAATACAGACTGGGCTAGCCAGTACATAAAGCGAGCCTAATGTCATTGTTCAGAAACCCGCAATGACCAAGTTAATTTCAAGTTCAAGTTAATTTATTAGCTATAGCCTTGTGAGCCATTCGGCTCTTGAATCGGGTGCAACCGCAACAAACAAAAAACAAAAACATGAACAAAAAACATCTTAAAGTGAATATGTGACTAAGTGCAAACAGAAAATCCAAGAAAAGACAGCAAAATATTGCAGAAAAAACACCGTACACCAACGCTGTGTGCAAAAATCACAGTGGGATGCAAGTCAAACAACAACAACAACCACAAGACAACTTAGATTAAGGCCATCAGTCTAACTCTGTACTACAACAAACAAACATGGCTAAACCAATACATGTTTCGAAATCACCAAAATAAAGCCATGAAAGCAATGAAAAAGCAATCATAGGAACTGTGACGGAATTTTCACAATAAATGGCATAAACAACATGTACTACCAAAACCCTGCAGCCATAGCTGGCTGCATGAGTCACTCCACAACAGCAGCAGGAGCATCAATCGGAGTATTATACATCATGAAATATCCACTGCTGGATGAGGGCCTCCTTAAGCCTTTATTGTTTTATATTTATATTATTTTATTACTTCCCTTCTACGTGACTTTACCGAAAAAACCAAGAATATGAATCCCTGCAGTCACGAAAGCTTTAAATCAAAATTTGATTGACGATACTTCACTATGCTGGTCATTGCGGGTTGACGATGTGAAGGAGTTGGTTATCTAGGACTGGCTCGGATATCACTCGCCACTGGTGTTAGCCGTAATTTGGAGTCTAACTCAGGTCATCAGGTTCATAATTCATTGAGATTAGCAGTCTCCTTGTCAAGAATAACCTAGATTAAAAAAAAAATACAGCATCACACAAAATTACAATGATAAACCAAAACAATAAATAAGATCACACTTAACAAAATGATAACTTAAGATGAATGTGTGATATAAATCGAATAAATTTAAAGAGTTTGAACGAAAAGTGAAAATAAAGTGTTCAATAACACTGGTCAACAAAAAGAACACAATTTTTTCTGGCCTGGACTTTTGCAGCTGTTTTAGACTAATTTCAGGGTGCTGATTCCAAATCTGATCTCAGATTTGCTCTATCACATCTCATTTTTATGCTATCGGCTTACCCCATTTTAATTGATTTTTCCCGAAATTAACTCCGTCACTTATGATTGCAAGTTGTTGCGAGTCAGTGACTGCTTTAGTGTTAAAATATGGTTGCTGTATTTTTAGGATATTGTGTTTATAATATCATTTTATGTAGATATCCACATTTATTTAATATTTTTCTTCCGCAGTTTTTATTGAAAATGCAATATTTGATATCTCAAAAACCTGATGTGATAGACAAAAACTGATGCCATATTTGGAATCGGCACCCCAAAATTACCTTAAAACCGTTAAAATACCTTATGCCAGAAAAAGTGTGTTGACCAGTGTAATCAGAGTCGAGCCGCTGCTCCTCCGAATTCGAGAGGAGCAGTTGAGGTGGTGCGAGCACCTGGCAGAGGTCGCAAACGGGTTTTGATTCCTTACCCGTACCCGGCCGCACCAGGGTCGCAAATGGCTACCCGTACCCGGCCCGGGTACGGGTAGCCGTTCCCTACCCGTACCCTACCCGAAATCAGTGACAAACGGCTACTCACCAGTGACTCACGGCCTACCCGTACCCGTACCCAGCCGCACCAGGGTCGCAAACGGCTACCCGTACCCGTACCCGGTCGGGTACGGGTAGCCTGGTATCGGGTAGGGTACGGGTATAGAGTACCCGGTTGCGACCTCTGGCACCTGGTCAGGATGACTCCGATAGACTCCCCCTGGAAGTCTTCCGGGCACATCCTACTGGGCACATTCCCCAGGGCCGGCCCAGGACACGCTGCTGGCGGGACTACGTCACTCGGATGGCCTGGGAATGCCTCGGAATTCCCCAGGAAGAGCTAGAGTCTGTCCCCAGGGAAAGGGAGGTCTGGACCGCCACTACTCAACATGCTGCCACCAGTACAAGCGGATTGAGAAACGAATAATAATCGTTCGCTTTGAAATAATGAAGGCCCTTGTAATGCCTCGTCATGTCATGGCACTATAGAAAGTATTATGCTGGTAGGAACCTCCTGGTTACACCAGCCCACAGGGGATTATTGTGTCCGTCGTGCAGGGAGGGGCTGGGTGGGGAGGGTGGGGAGGGGCTGGGTGGGGAGGGTGGGGCTGGGTGGTGGGTGGGAGGGGTGGGACTGGGTGGGGTGGGGAGGGGCTAGGTGGGGAGGGTGGGGAGGGGCTGGGTGGGGAGGGGAGGGGAGGGTGGGGTGGGGAAGGGCGGGGAGGGTGGGGAGGGGCTGGGTGGGGAGGGGCTGGGTGGTGGGTGGGAGGGAGGGGTGGGGCTGTGTGGGGAGGGGCTGGTCACCCCGTGGTGCCCTTATAAAACTCAACGTTTAACCTACTCACGCCGGCTTGTGCCCGCCCTCACAGTCGGGCATATTTGCGGAATACACCACGCCGCCGTTGACCCTGGCCATTGACCGAGCAACCCAACGTTCCTACCAGCTCCCTCCGCAGGAATGTGTTCATGTAGGAACAACGATGAATGTATCACCATCCACGATGCATTATATCATCTCATATACAGTGATAATCATGACTGATGTAAATTATAACGATGGTCTTGAATGGCTAGAAAGATGAAAATGTGCACATATGTAGTCTGGTTGAGCTCAACATAAATATGAGGAAAACAAAAGTCAAGTATGAAAAGTTCTATGCACAAACAATATATCTGTTGGAGGGACACAACTTGAAAATATGTCACGTTCTAATTTGTTTTAATTATGATTGGAGTGCCTTTGGAAACACGAATTTGACATGTGAAAATAAAGCTCATGTGTAGGAGATCGTGGCATCGTGAGGCAGCGGGAAGCAGAGGTGGCTTGGAGAAAAGGCCTTCATCCAACATAGGGTAGGCTAAATCATTGCTTTACAAATATACAATTGTCATCTTTTGATTTAAAGCTTTCGTGACTGCAGGGATTCATCTTCTTGGTTAAAGCAGATAGGTGGGCGAAGCCCACGACGAGATTATAGTGATATAATAATGTACATTAAAACACTGAGGTTAAAATGCATTACGCCAGCCATTAAGATAGGTGTATTTTCTTTGTAAAGGAGCTCATGAATCACAAAGTGCACAGGATTAACATAAACTCAGCATTGGTGTCAAATTAGCAAGGCACTTGTCACTCTGTAAAATGTAAAAATGGCAACACGATGTAGCATCTCGTTAAGCCAACATGTTAAATAAGTGTCATGTCAATCAGTAAAGTAGTACCCGAATACATATTTAATCAGTGGTACAAGTTGGAAATGCCAGCCCGTTACGCGAGCCGTATGATATTTTATTAGGCAACTTCATCTGCTGATTATTTACAAAGTACAAACTAGCAGGTCTAATGCAACGTGAACATTCGAATACGCATTTCATTACGGTAATACAAGCAGACCATCCCAAAACATTATAAGAGCCTCATGCTGCTTCATGAAGCAACCTCATCATCGGAATAAATATTTCAATAATGCAAGCTGAGCTAGCCAGTGGCCTTAAATTAGATTTTAATGCCACTTTGTTAAACAACCTTAAGGACAATCAATATTTTATTATCGTGTAAGAAGCTGTGCCAGTCCAATAAGCGAGGATCTTGCCACTTTATTAAGCAAACCTCATCATTTTATATACCAACCCAGCTGTCTTCCCGACAGACCTGTTCTTCACCTGAGGACGGCTGCTTGCGTTGTGGCCGAAACGTCGTGAGAACTATTTTATTATGTTTTATTTTTATTATTTTATTATTTCCCTTCTACGTGACTTTACCGAAAGAACCAAGAAGAAAAAACAAACCTCATCATCTGAATAAAGCTGAGCTAGCCAGTCCGTTAAGTGAGAATCACAACACTTTGTGAAGTAACCTCGGCATATAAATACTGTAACATATTCAATAACAATGAGGACAAGCTGTGATATCCCATTAAGCGAGCCTCGTGCTACTTTATATACATTTAAAAAAAAACTAATTACGTAAAATGAATCCTAATACAAGCTGGGTTGGCAGGTCCATTAAGCAGGCAATTTATTAAGCATTTAGTCATCGCGAAGAAATATTGAAAGAATACAAGCATGTCTTACTCGTCCATCAAGCTAGCTATTACCAATTTGATAAGCAACCGCATTGTATGAATGCGAGTACTGTACATAATTAATCAGAATAAAACAATCTGGACAAGCCAGACACTGAAGCGAGCCTCAAAGTCACGTTGTTAAGCAGCCTCACGATCTGAATAGAGCACATTCATTTAAAAATGGCACAAGCTGGGCTTCTTGTTCCACGCAGAAAATGTCATGCAAATTTGTTAAGCGGCCTCATCCTCTGAACACGTTGAGTTGGGCTTGTTTTTTCACTATGAGACCAGATGGTCCAACACCAATGGAGACTATAGGCTCTAAGAAAAGCTGTCTCGGGTGTGGACTAATCGACTTCAAGGACAGTCCATATCATTATCATTATCAGAGTTGTTTCTTTTTGTTTGCATTTTGACTGCTTGTGTTGTGGTTATTGCAAACATGATCCCTTGTATAAAGGTGTCAGTTTTTGTACCAGGGTAAAAACCTATTACTTGTTTTTTTTCAATTAAGTGAGCCTCCTGCCAAGTTATTCATCAACCTTTATATAATAATTATTACAGAAACACAACCTGCCAGAGACAAAACATGCACACATATAATCAGGGAACAAACATAAATCACAACCATCGTATTGTGAATTAAGAAACGGAAATGGGCTTGGGCAGGAGACGTCACGAGTCGAGAGGATGGCCGGTGAAAGAGACTGGTAAGAGAATGGCAGCCAAAGAAGAGAATCCGCCAAAAAGGACAACCACCGCAGAGATGTAGGCATGAGACGGTCAGTTATGTGCAGGTGAAGGATGGTAGCAGCATGGACAGGCCTTCATCCAGCAGTGAATTGACAATGACTGATGATGATGAACACAAGCTGGACAAGCCATTCCAAATCATTACAATAACGCAGATGCACCTTGACGTAGAGCTGTTGAAACTCATTGAGGTTGAGGCGCCCGCTCGGACAGTCCTTCAGAAAGCCCTTATACCACTGCTTCAGCTCCTGCTCATTGAACTCCGTATTCTTGAGCAGGTCCTCCAGAACCTCGGGTGCCAGCTTGCTGTTGTGCTTGCCCATGGCTGCAACTGCACGCAACACAACAGCTGGGCATGGGCACATGGGCCAGACTCTGCTGCTGATAAAGTGTCGGGGAACTTTCATCTGAAACATTTCCAGCGTTTGCCTGGCGTAAATAACAAATGCTGCTGGAAAATATTGCTCCGTAAGGGTAATAGGCTGATGGATAAAAAAAATTTGTATTTAATGTAAATAAAAAATATTGAGAATGGAATTCATGTCTGTTCATTATACACTCAACACGTTGATCATCGCAATGTCTTATAACATACAAAAAATACATAAGCTGACATTTCAGGCAATGGCTCTTCTTAAAAGCACAGAAAAACATGTACACTGTGGGACCCGAGGAAATGTGGTACATTTTAAGAAGGTTGACCATTTTGATGTTGATATGTGAGCAAATGTCTATCAGTAAACATTGATTATTATCAAACTATAATGTAGAAAGTTTAAAATCTATATTATCATGGTGATTATAAACGATGAATAATCTACAATTGGATGAAGGGCTTCCCAAGGCATCACCATTCCTTCATAGTCCTGCGATGCAACTATCCACATAGAATAATAACTAATATTTATACATTGCTTTGAATAGAAATACAAAACACCAATTCTAGATTTGAAGTTTTCGTGACTGCAAAGGTCCATACTTTTTGTTTTTTTTCGGTAAAGTCATGTAGGTAAAAAATGTAATTAAAATAAATTAAATCACGACGCTTCGGAGGCAACACAAGCTTCCGTTTTCAGGTGGAACCGTCACAGCTAAATTACTTCACTTCACTTGATACAATTACTGCATCACTTGATACAGTAATTTTGCTGTGACGGTACCACCTGAAGACGGAAGCTTGCGTTGCCCCCGAAACGTCGTGATTTAATCTATTTTTATGTAATTTTTTACCTACGTGACTTTACCGAAAAAAACCAAAGAGCACAAAATACCATTTTGGAAATGTTATTGTGTATATATAACGCACATATTTGTTACGCTTGTGATTCAGTTCATTTAAAACGTGGTTGGTGCACCACGCACGAATCACACACAATCTTCCTGGAGTAGGAAATGGCCAGCAGATGGCAGTACAACAAGTTGGATTACAGAAGTTGATGGATGATGCAGATTTGCGAAATAAATCCCAAACCGCCTGAGCTGCGAGGTAGCCATGGTATTAACAAGTATACAAAAATGGATTATTGAATTAATCTGTGCGGATCTTTGAGTGTGTTATCTCTTTACACATTTGCACTGGGTACTCGGGTTTCTTCTCCCACATGCAAAACACTCGTTAAAAAGGAACTGGTCAAACATTCCAATGCAGGACCCCCCCCCTTGGTAGACATTCTGGAAACTTAGTAAGGCTTCAGTGTATAAGTACAGAACACTGTAATTCATATTATTTTCTGACAGGTAGGAGTGGTGGTGGAGTAGCGCACCTTTCACGGGTGTGATTTATGATCAGTGGATAGGGACATTTTAACGGATTTCCTTAATCTCTGACGACTGTGTGACGCTGATATTAGAGTGCAGGTTTAACTCATAATCCCATCGTCCCTCGACAAAAAAACATTTTTTGTTGCATTTTGTGGAAAGTGATCGTGGTTGCTCTGCGGATTATCAGTGGTGTAGCATGGTTGGCATGAGTACTGTTGAAAAAAAAAGGTAATGGGACCCCTGTATAATTCCCCCCCTCCAGCCCGTGGGGCCCTGTGCAATTTGCACCACCTGTACACTCGATAGATCCATGGACTCGTGTAGAAACCCACAGACTGAAATAGTAACCTATAGGCGTGCACGGAGACTCATACACTCACATAAAGACCAACAGATTCACATAAAGACCCAGTGGCGTAGTGTGGTTGGCATGGGCCTGGTGCATGGAATGAATGGGGGGGGGGGGGGGCCCTTTTCAATTCCACTTCGTCATAGCCCAGGGCCTGGGCCCGTCTGGCCCATGAGCCGCCGGTGCAGTTGCACCGCCTGCACACTCCACCGTAATTCTACTCTTGGCATGGGAACGTGAAATTTCCACCCCCAACTGGTTTGCTCAGGGAGACACTGACATTTTTTAAATATAAAAAACATGATTTCGGGGCGTGACGCATAAGTATAATGGCTAGCGAGTGACGGGAGGCATGTTGACGAGACATCTGATACACGTCGCCATGGTGATACTTTCGCTTCGTTGGTGATGAGGAAAATTATGACCAAAAATCTGGCAAAAACTGAACGTTTCTCCAGTAACTCGTGAATCTATGACCAAATCACACTAAATACGCCGCGGCTCATCGGATCTCGGGTGTTAACCAGTGTTGAGCCACTATGAGATCTCTTTTACCAGTGGCAAAATATAGTAGTAGGTTTTAACCCTTTTAAACTGCTACAAAACTGACAACTTTATTCAAGGCATCATGTTTGCAATAACCACAACACAAGTAGTCAAAAAAGCAAACAAAAAGAAGCAACTCTGATAATGATAATAATAATATGCACTGTCCTTGAAGTTGATTGGTCGACACCCGAGACGGCTTTCTTTAGAGCCTAGTCCCCATTGGTGTTGGACCAGATGACACCAGAAAGCGTACAACTCAAACACAGTGCAATATCAGAGTATTGAGAGCTCGGGGTAAGCATTTACACTATGAGATCTCTTTTAGCAGTGGCAAAATATAGTAGTAGGTTTTTACCCTTTTAAACTGGTACAAGTGTTGAGCCTGGTTAGTAACGGGGTGAGACTCGGGGCTTGCCATGTGTTGTAGGCATGACGCTGGGAAGTATGCCCAGGAGATGGCAGTCTTTAGTTTTGCCCCCTCATCATTCGAGGTTGGTATTCTCTTTGGATCTGCCGTTTCCTCCCCATGTGAATCCACGCTCGTGAATGGAATTGGCCAAACATTCGAATGTAGCAGAAAGCCCTCCCTGAGGCACGGCGAGGTTTCACTAGGTAACTAATTGCCATTCACACTTTGAAATAATGTACACTTGAAATACATAAAAACACAGAGTATTAATAAATGTTTATTTTTAAACCCCAGCCCTTTGTGAATTCACAACTGGGGGAATGCCTTCCTAATTACGTGTCGCTCGTAGGGGTTTTACTTGATCATACTTCACCACGCTTATCGGTGTCTGACGGTGAAAGGGAGCCCAGGACAGGTTCAGACACCACTCACCACAGATGTTAACTGTGAACTGGAACTGATGTTAGCCGTGAACAGGAATCGCATATCCTCATGTGGATTGACAGGAGAGTAATTCGTGTAAAATCCATCAATATTATGACATTTGAATACTAGAATTCATGCATTAAGCGGCGAAGACAAACACCCCAGTGCGGCATTTATCATAAAGATGGATGGAGCTAGCGTTGTTTGCGAGCACCTATCAAAGCACACACACACAAACGTGTGTTGATCATGCACACAAACGTGTGTTGATCATGACTATTAGTTTAAATAACAACCTGGTAAATGCTACAACGGCAAGAATACAAGAGTTACCCCATGAGCAACACGAAGCTGGGAGGCATTCTTCGAACAGTGGGAAATAAAAAAACGAATGTACATGAGCATTTTATTGGTTCTTTGGGTAAAGTCACGTAGAAGGGAAATAATAAAATAATAAAAATAAAACATAATAAAATAATTCTCACGACGTTTCGGCCACAACGCAAGCAGCCGTCCTCAGGTGAAGAACAGGTCTGTCGATAAGACAGAGTCTAAATGACACGTCTTAGGCTTGGAGTGTCTATTTAAGCTGTGAAGGAGGAGGAAGAGAGCCTTGACAAAAGAAATGCAAATTCTTTTGTCAAGGCTCTCTGCATTTCTTTTGTCAAGGCTCTCTTCCTCCTCCTTCACAGCTTAAATAGACACTCCAAGCCTAAGACGTGTCATTTAGACTCTGTCTTATCGACAGACCTGTTCTTCACCTGAGGACGGCTGCTTGCGTTGTGGCCGAAACGTCGTGAGAATTATTTTATTATGTTTTATTTTTATTATTTTATTACTTCCCTTCTACGTGACTTTACCGAAAGAACCAAGAAGATGAATCCCTGCAGTCACGAAAGCTTTAAATCGATACATTAGCATTGTTTCAAATAGAAACTGGTAATCAAATAAATACTTGAGCGTTTAAGGTGGCGTAGAGCACAGAATGAAGATATAAGCGGGTAAATGTGGCTCAGGTTGACGTGGATCGGCTGAGTTTTATATCGGGTGACGAAGGGGGTCAGATAGAGGATTTGATCAAGGGAGCGAATTAAATAAGCGGACAGTCTTTCGTACATCTTTCCTTCGACGTATAAAAAACATACAAAGGCGTTTTTTGTTTCTTTCTTTCTTTGTTTGTTCTATCCCATCGGACACACGCGGTCTTCCTCGTGAGGAGCACGTCATTTTGAGCGACATTTGATTCAACACAAACAAAACTCTGGACATCATCATCAGCAATTTAAGACGCGCAAAACAACATCGCTCCTTCGCGTCTAACGTGGCGAGAATAAGCGTTCGAAATAAATCAGCGGAACAATATCTGTGGGTTCTCCGACGCAACAAAAAGCCAAAAAAAAAGAGAGATAGATAGAGATAGATAGATAGAGAGAGATAAAAGTTATACATGTTTCTTACGTGGTAAAACAATTGGTGAAAATAAACACGTCGGGGGTATATGGCGGCAAAGCGATGGGAGAAATGAAATGGGAAAGGATCGGATAAGTGATCGAATAAAAAGGGGAGAATGTAGCGGGCAAATTATTAGGTTAAAGTGACGGCGATAAGGAACCGGGTGAGTAAGCGAGGAGATGTTAATTAAGGTAGAGCAAGGGGTAAAACGATGGGGGTAGATTGCAGTATTTGTTGGTAAACGATGAGGTAAACGATGAGGTAAATTAACGTGGGTGAAATTGTGACTGAAATAAAGGACGAGCTAAATGGTGGATCGTGGAGTAAATTGTGGTTAATCGATGAGGTAAATAGTCACGGTAAATGATGGTAAGTTACCAGGTCAATTATGTTGACGGCGCTTAAACGATGGGAGTAACGTGGCGTATTTCACGACGGCGGCGGGAAATACGACGTGTGTGTGTGTGTAAATTACGAGGTTAACGGTGGCAAATCATGAGGTAAATTGTGTGCGAGATGGTGGTAGATGTTGGTAAACGATGAGGTAAATGACGGAGTAAATGGTGGGTGAAGAGGGAGCCGGCAACGATTCGTACCTCCGACGTCGCTCGGCCTCGGAGACTCGCGGCGGCAGCGAGAGACGAGGCGCCAAGCCAGCGGCGCGGGGGGCTGAAGCGCGTGCGCGAGTGTGTGTGTATGTGTGTGTGTAGGTGTGTGTGTGTGTGTAGATGTGTGTGTGTGGATGTGTGTGTGTGGATGTGTGTGTGTGGATGTGTGTGTGTGGATGTGTGTATGTAGGTGTGTGTGTGTGTAGATGTGTGTGTGTGTGGTGTTGTGTGTGGATGTGTGTGTGTGGATGTGTGTGTGTGGATGTGTGTGTGTGGATGTGTGTGTGTGGATGTGTGTGTGTGGATGTGTGTGGATGTGTGTGTGTAGATTTGTGTGTGTGGATGTGTGTGTGTGTGTAGATGTGTGTGTGTATGTAGGTGTGTGTGTATGTGTGGATGTGTGTGTGGATGTGTGTGTGGATGTGTAGATGTGTGTGTGTATGTAGACGTGTGTGTGTGTAGACGTGTGTGTGTGTATGTGTGTGTGGACGTGTGTATGTAGGTGTGTGTATGTGTGTATGTGTGTGTAGATGTGTGTGTGTGTAGATGTGTGTGTGTGGATGTGTGTGTGTAGATGTGTGTGTGTGGATGTGTGTGTGTGTAGATGTGTGTATGTGTGGATGTGTGTGTGTAGGTGTGTAGATGTGTGTGTGTGTATGTGGATGTGTGTGTAGATGTGTGAGTGTGTGTAGACGTGAGTGTGTGTATGTGTAGATGTGTGTGTATGTGTGTGTGTGTCTGTGTGTGTGGATGTGTGTGGATGTGTGTGTAGATGTGTGTGTGTGGATGTGTGTGTGGATGTGTGTGTGTGTGGATGTGTGTGTGGATGTGTGTGTGGATGTGTGTGTGGATGTGTGTGTGGATGTGTGTGTGGATGTGTGTGTGGATGTGTGTGTGGATGTGTGTGTGGATGTGTGTGTGGATGTGTGTGTGTGTAGATGTGTGTGTGTGTAGATGTGTGTGTGTGGATGTGTGTGTGTGGATGTGTGTGTGTGTATGTGTGTGTGTGGATGTGTGTGGATGTGTGTGTGTGGATGTGTGTGTGTGTGGATGTGTGTATGTGTGTGTGTAGATGTATGTGTGTATGTAGATGTGTGTGTGTGTAGACGTGTGTGTGTGTGTATGTGTGTGTGTGTATGTAGGTGTGTGTATGTGTGTGGATGTGTGTGTGTGTGGATGTGTGTGTGTATGTGTGTGTGTAGATGTGTGTGTGTGTGTGGATGTGTGTGTATGTTTGTGTGTAGATGTGTGTATGTGTAGATGTGTTTGTGTGTGTAGACGTGTGTGTTTGTGTGTAGACGTGTGTGTGTGTGTATGTGTGTAGACGTGTGTGTATGTGTGTGTATGTGTATGTGTAGATGTGTGTGTGTGTGTAGACGTGTTTGTGTGTAGACGTGTGTGTGTGTGTATGTGTGTAGACGTGTGTGTATGTGTGTGTGGATGTGTGTGTGGATGTGTGTGTCTGTGTGTATGTGTGTGTATGTATGTAGACGTGTGTGTGTGTGTACGTGTAGATGTGTGTGTGTGTATGTAGATGTGTGTGTGTGTATGTGTGTGTGGATGTGTGTATGTGTGTAGATGTGTGTGTGGATGTGTGTGTGTGTGTAGATGTGTGTGTGTATGTAGATGTGTGTGTGTGTATGTGTGTGTAGACGTGTGTGTAGACGTGTGTGTGTATGTAGACGTGTGTGTGTGTGTAGACGTGTGTGTGTGTATGTGTGTGTAGACGTGTGTGTAGACGTGTGTGTGTGTGTAGACGTGTGTGTGTGTAGATGTGTGTGTATGTAGGTGTGTGTGTGTGTGTGGATGTGTGTGTGTGTATGTGTGTGTAGACGTGTGTGTAGACGTGTGTGTGTGTGTAGACTTGTGTGTGTGTAGATGTGTGTGTATGTAGGTGTGTGTGTGTGGATGTGTGTGTGTGTGTATGTAGACGTGTGTGTGTGTGTGGATGTGTGTATGTAGACGTGTGTGTGTATGTAGATGTGTGTGTGTATGTAGACGTGTGTGTGTAGATGTGTGTGTGTGTATGTAGACGAGTGTGTGTGTAGATGTATGTGTGTGTAGACGTGTGTGTATGTAGACGTGTGTGTGTGTAGACGTGTGTGTGTGTGTGTAGACGTGTGTGTATGTAGATGTGTGTGTATGTAGATGTGTGTGTGTAGACGTGTGTGTGTGTAGATGTGTGTATATGTAGATGTGTGTGTATGTAGATGTGTAGACGTGTGTGTATGTAGGTGTGTGTAGACGTGTGTGTGTATGTGTGTGTGTATGTAGATGTGTGTGTGTATGTGTGTGTGCATCTTCGCCGGTTGGAAACATTTAGGCTGGCCTGCCTACGATCCATCCTGGGTTTAACCAGGCTGGATTGTGTGAGGAGCTCACAAATGCTTGAAAGATCTGGACAAAGTCCCATCGGTGAGCTCCTCCGGCAGGCAAGGCTGCGTTGGCTGGGTCATGTAGCCCGCATGCCCAGCCACCACATGCCGAAACAGCTTTTGTTCGGCCGGATCGTGGGGGTAAAACGGGCGCGGCACGGCCTAGGGAAGAGATGGAGTGATGTGGTACAGGAGGATGTGGAGCTGAGTGGACTTGCAGATGACTGGTACCAGCGGTGTCAAGATCGGCCTCTGTGGAGGAGGCTCGTGAAGGACGCTACTGGGCAGTTGGAGGCAGTCGCCCTCCAACAACAACGGAGGGCGGAGGAGCGACGCTCACAACAACAAGCAGAGCGCCGGGTGACTAAAGCACAGAAAGTTGGCACAGTAGGGGGCACAGGTGGTGCATCAGCCAGTCATCTCAGTGAGTCGACCCGTGGCATTTGGGTCTGCCCCGTGACCTCCTGCAAGCTGGCGTTCGACACTTCACGTGGCCTCAAGGTGCACCTAGAGTGGCACAAGGGTCGTGGTGACGTCACCACCACTTAGTGGCGAATGGCGGTTGTTGTTGTTGTGCAGACGTGTGTGTAGATGTGTTTGTGTAGACATATGTGTGTAGAGATGTGTGTGTGTGTGTGGAGCGGTAGTGTAGCGGTTAGAGCATTGTGCTATGAATCTGGCGACCCCAGTTCGATGCCCGCTCACGGCTACTAACAACAGTGACGATTATCTGAACCGGTCCTGGGCCTCCCCTAGGTCGACTCAGCCTCAAATCAGTACTTGGTGCGATGTGTAAACATCGCCACTGGGGAAACAAAGGCGGCCGGGCGTGGTGCTGGCAAACCACCTCCCCCCTCGTGTGCCGTGCTGGCCTTCATAGGTGCTCGCTAAAAGCCCTTGTCCTCACAGGCTGTTTAGGCTCTACAGGGGGATCTTTGTCTTACATATACAACACACACAGGGATACAAGTACAAACGCAGCTCACAAGACACACCACACAGTAAGGCAGGAACGTTGGCTCAAACTTGGCATGTGTATTGGGTACATAACAGACTGTGCATACATACACACAACACTCCCACACACAAAATACGCACGCATACAAATTGCTCAATTGGAATGAGAAATAGAAGCCAATCGTGTCCTCATCCTGGCAGACTAATGCCCGTTTGCGGACCACTGTGCAATAAGTCACCTTGTCCCAACAGGCACAGCTGCCAGTGGGGGTGCCCTTTGAAACGTTTTGAAACTAGATGCAAATCGCTGTTAGATTGAGCGCGAACACAAACATCATCATCATTATATACACACACATATATATATATACAACACAAACATCATCATTATATACACACACATATTATACAAAAACAACAACCGCCAGAAATTTCGATTTAAAGCTTTCGTGACTGCAGCGATTCATATTCTTGGATCTTTCGGTAAAGTCATGTAGAAGGGAAATAATAAAAGAATAAAAATAAAACATTATAAAATTCTCACGACGTTTCGGCCACAACACAAGCAGCCATCCTCAGGTGAAGAACAGAGCTGTCGGAAAGACAGCGTTCTAACGAATGAACGCTGTCATTAGAACGCTGTCTTTTAGTTTTATTATTTTATCCAGGAATAACAACCGCCAGGCTATGTTCACTTTCACGCCACGTGGAGTGTCGAACGCCCGCTGGCAGGAGGTCACGGGACAGACCCAGGTGCCACGGGTTGACTGACTGAGATGACTGGCCGATGCATCACACAGATGCTGACATACACATCATCCACACACATCACACGCATGCATGCATACATACAGATGCATAACGTTATACATACTGACAAAACACAAATACATAATACATACGCGTATTAAAGTGTCTTTATAAATAATTTCAACACAGTATATACACTTTCTTTAAACAAGCGGTGGCCAATACACCAACCACTACGATCTATTCCAGAAAGCTATGGCCCAACCAATACAATTCTAGTCTAAAGCAGAGTTTATCAAACTTTTCTTGGCCTCGCGGACCACTCAGCCGATACAAACATTTCCGCGGACCCCCCCCCCCCCTCCACTTCCTGGTGACAAAACGCATTCGCTTATTTCTTTACATATTACCGGAACGTGAAAAAAACGCAGCTATAAGGATTTTTGTTGGGGGGTCCTCAGGTGGAGAACAGGTCTGTCGAGAAGACTCTGTTCTCCACCTGAGGACGGCTGCTTGCGTTGTGGCCGAAACGTCGTGAGAATTATTTTATTATGTTTAATTTTTCTTATTTTGTTATTTCCATTCTACGTGACTTTACCGAAAGAACCAAGAAGATGTTACACACCAATCCAGGTTCTTATTTAAGGCTGAGTGGAGCGGTGTGAGGCCACCACTCCCCACAAACACACACATACTGAATATACACAGCATAATACACGCGGTGACCTTGCCTATAGCGGTAACGCGTTAGCCGCTTGTTGCAGAGATTCACGGTTCGAATCTAGTAGCCGCCCTGGTTATCACTGCGGGTGTACTAACCACAATAATACTATGCGCCGTCTGCTTTCCTTTACAGTGGACGTTACAGATCCAATGACGTAATTCGCAAGCGTATGCCATTGTGTTTCAGCGTCAGGATGCAGATTATGCAAATGTAAACATTACCAACCAATTACTCAATTGGGTAATTGTTTTTTTACCCTTCTATCTGGCAACAAAACTGACACCTTTTTACAAGGAGTCATGTTTGCATAGACCGCAATACCTGCAG